TATATTATTTTGTGGCAACAAAGAGGGAAGTAATATATTAGATTAGTCTGCAATAGATGGTCGCAACTTTAATGGATAACAACGACCCAACAATATATGCAGGCTTTTATTATTATTATTATTATTATTTGAGAGTAATATACAGAGGTTATCACGTTAATATATATAAGATTTACTAATATTCAACTTACTCATTTTTAAATAAAAAAAACATCTAAATTCCAACGCTAGTCACTATCTTGGTAACAGAACCCAACGTATTCATGTTGTGAACTGTAATGAAGACTACTCTCTTACCACACAACTGATACTATTAATTGTTCAGTACAATAGAAAGTGAATGGTATTACTTTTAATTGAAAAAAAAAAAAAACGAAACATATTGGTTTGTGTGGGTGTGTGTGTGTAATTACGTGAAAAAATGGTACTAATTGTTCTCTCTTGATTCCTACCAGTTTATGTATCACAAGTGATCTCTTGGTAACAAACCCAGTTCAGAAATGATTGTGATTATCTATTATGGCGTAACAAACCAAGCTAATTTTGTCATAATTAACATCTGGATTTGGAACTTCCATTTGCATAAAACGGGACAATAGTACTTATGAACAGATTTCAATCCTTTTCCTTTAGGCAATACAGATCGATGTTCACAGTCATCTATGTTTGAATGCCCTCATTTTTGCATGACAGTGATTATCAAATTTCATTTGCCATTATTTTATCTCTCCTTCATGTGGGGACCCTTGTCTTGAAGTTGCAAGCACATGGGATGAGATAAAAGAGTGACTGGTTAAATTAGATATTAGTCATTAAGAGGAAGAGCAAAAATGGAGGAAAAGGGAAAAGTTTACTAAACAAAGGTATCACAGAAAGCTGAGGCAAATCCTTCTGGTGTCAATTATACTAACTCTCTTTCAGGAAAGACAAATCCTAAGATGCCTCTTTTCCCCTTTCATTCACGCTTCTAGAATCATCCCCTCAATCTTACATGACAAACTTGCTGCACTTTCACTTTCACATGTTGGAAAAAAGGCTCAGAAATATGAGAGAGTCAAATTCGACAGAAAACTACAGATCATGAAACAAACAAAAGTCACCCAGTACTTGATTTCTTTACTCAGAACAAATGCCTTCTACAACATCAAAAGTAGAAGTTTGGCGCTAATAACTACTATTTACGTTAAAATTGTTTGATGGAATTTCATAATTTGAAAATATATACACAAAGAAAAATAGTTAATGTAGTACTGTACTATTAGAGAAACCTAAATAATTTATTAAGGTACATCTATAAATAGCCTCTCCTACAGTCAAAGACCTTCCTCACCACCCGTATAAGCACAAAAGCACAAGCCAGTACTACTGAATATGTCGGCACTGAACCATCTTCTTGATCTTTCCGCAGAACAGATTTGTTATGTGCAATGTGGTTTCTGCACCACTATTTTACTCGTATGTTGCGAGTATCGTAGCAAAAACAATCTAGGGCAAACTTAATTACGTACACATCAATTTTTGTTGTTTTATGGTTTTCTTGACCTTTTAATGTGTTATATAGATATATAATTATTTGTGTATGAAACTCATGTAGGTAAGCGTCCCATGCAGCAGCTTGTCAATGGTGGTGACAGTCAGATGTGGCCACTGCACTGGCCTCCTTTCGGTCAACATGACGAAAGCCTCCTTTATTCCTCTGCATCTCTTAGCTTCGTTTACCCAAGATGAGGTGCTTTACTTCCTTGTTTCTTTACATCACTAGCCACTATCCTTATTTTATTTTATTCTTAATTTCTGGTGCTTGAAAGTATGTATTCATCATAATATAAAAAGAAAGTTGTTATTGTCATTATACATCACTTTAAATGTGTAACTTTTGAGTTGTTATCTGTGTTTTCTAGCAAAAGGAAGAGGTGGATTTAGAGGAAGTAGACACACAAAATGCGACGGATATTCGTAGCCCTGTGGTATCTTCTGACAATGAAGAAGTGGATGTTGTTTCTGTGAATCAAATTGTTAACAAACGTAAGCCTTCTAAATGTAACATGACTTTACGTTAAACTGGTGCGAGTTAGATTATAGGGTTTGAAATTTATTTTCATGTTGATTGTATAGCTCCAGAGAAGAGAAAACGGGCTCCATCGGCCTACAACCGCTTTATCAGGTGAAATAATTTAGTCCAAATAACTAGTTATTTGACACTCTTGTTAAATGATTAAGTTGGTAAATTTCACGTTATAATATTAATATAGTGTTTATTAATGTGAACCAGAGAAGAGATCAAGAGGCTGAAAGATGAAAATCCAAACATGGCTCACAAGGAAGCGTTCAGTACAGCTGCCAAAAATGTAAGTTCTGGAACCAATAATATAACAAGAGCAAAGCTATATAAAGAAATCTCTACTTTTATTCTACACTGAGGAGCTAATTATAATTAATCGGAATCCAATATGTGTTTGACTAAATCCAGTGGGCCAATTTCCCTCCAACTGAGTACAAAGAAGATGAAGAGAGTTGTAGCCAGGGAAAGGAAAATGTGACATTGGACTCTCATGTCAATAAGGTAAATTCAGTGATATTTGTGTGTGTATATAATATATAAGTGGAAACTTGAAGCCGTTCAATTTGATCAGGTTTCACTTAACCAAAATGAAAAAAAAAAAAAATCAACTTCATATGTAAATATAGTATTTTTATTGGTCGATGTGGTTTAAAACTGATCTATAAGATTGAAATAGAAGAATACCACCTTTGAAAAAGTGGAATTTAGATATACCATTTTGCCAAAAAAAAAAAAATTTTGAGTCCAGCTTTTACATAAAGTAGTCCAGCTTAATTATACCATTTTTATGGACGTATAATACAACCGTACTCACTTAAAAGTTCTAGATGCTTAGACTTGTTCTTTTCATAACTCAAACTCTTTTGTTGCAACGTTTTTTCTCATAAAAATTTAAATTCAACATTTTTACTACAGTGTTTTCTTTTATATAAAAATAATTTGAGTTGTGACTTGTGAAAAGAACACAACCCTAATTTCTCAAGTCAATTTTAGCTATATATGTCCGTTCAAAAACTTGGCACCCTAATTTATTGCGGTTCAACTACTAGAGATAAGAGAAATTTATTGCTTGACAAGGCATGACTCTCAAAGAGCACCCTTTAATTTACCCTTGTGTTGATTTGTAGTAATTTATGCCACTGAAATAGGCGCATGACTTTCTGTTGATACAATTTTCAGGTCCACGAAGAGGGCAAAGTTTTCCGTGAAAAAAGAGGCCGGGAAGACATTTACATTTATGGACAACGACACCCTTTTACTGAATATTAAGTCTTGATTATGTATAGACTGTTTCGGGGCCAAAATTGGGTTAAACAAATATTGCTTCTTTGTTATAGTTTAGATGCTCTAGGGAATGGGGTTCTATTGCAGTTGCAGGCTGTACAGGTACTGTCAGCCACTGAAAGATACTCCAGCTTTCAAAAATGTAGTTGAAGAATATTGATGTTATATGTAGTTTGTCCCCCAAGAAAACTATCTATTAGTTAGCAAATTAGTAAAACTTGCTTTTATGATCAAACTTGGTATTTATCAAGGGCGTGTTATTACCAAGCAATAATTAGGCGTTCATTATTTGCGGTCATGTGAAATACATGTAAACAAAGAAATTAAGACACTACTGATTGAGACTTGAGAGGATGGAAAGTATATTTGATGATCATTGGTGAAAAGAAAAAAAAAAAAACTAGTTTTGATATATATATATATATATATATATATATATATATATCTAAGGTGATATATTTCAGACTACTAATTAATTAGTGAAGGTCGAATATTTTCATATTTGTCAAGATATTAACAAGATAAGCGTTACATGGCTGACCTTGATTGGTCATGTATTCTAATAACGTGATAATATTATTGAAATTTCTCACAAAACTATATATACAAAAGACTACGAGACAACATCCTTTTCTATGGGTCATATGTCTAGAGAGATAAGATCATTATACAGTTTCTAATTTTACTAGGATTTGCAACATATCCTTTTCTATAGGTCATAGATATGTCTAGAGAGCAAATATCTAGGATTTGCATCTCCATGAAAATATAGTACTACATCTAATTTTTCTTCTACAAGAAGCTATAGTCTTTACTCTCACCACGTGGGCTTTCAATATGTCTTATAAGATCACTTCCAGTATTGTCTGCTTTTTGCCAATATTCTTGGTGCCCTTCGAATATATGATCTACCTGAAAAATATTATTTAAAGGAGAAATTATTTCTTAATATTGTAAAATATAGTTCGACCAATAAATTATATCATGGTGACCGTAGAACCAATCATCATTTGTTAAAGAGAATCGTAAATTATAAACTAAGATTTGACTTTTAATATATATATATATATATACATAATTTTTTTTTTTAAAAATTTCGACATAATAACTTACCAACGTTTTATAAACAGCACTTCGACTTGTATTTTATTTAGATCCATTGTTGGTTACAAGAGTGTTTTAAAATAAATTATAAGTGTACTCTTGTAGGTTATATCATAATATCTTACTCTTTGACAAGGGCCTTGGAGAAAAAGCATGGAAATAATATGCATGGAAGAAGTCCTTATTCTCCTTCTGTAGCTCTCTCCAAACTGACAGAGATATAAGCAAATGAATTAGCAACAAACTATGAACAAATGACGAAAGACCATATATAATATGCAAATTAAATTTAAGCACACGGAGGGGAGAGAAACGTAGAGAGAGAAAGATGATCACACACAGTACCAGTGAGAGTAACGAGGGGGCGAATGCTTGCATGCACAGCTAGGGCTCGGACGCATTGGTCGCGACTCATGTGAAGCAGCAAACATCTCTCAATAAGATGTTGAACCTGTTTTTTTATACAAGTTTCCATGCAAAATAACAAGATAGAAAAATTAGCTTGTTTTCTTTCTTTCTTTTTACTAAATAGCGCCGATATACATATCAATATCAGTAGCAGTATTGATTCAAGAGGTTGCGTGTTTAGCGTGCATGAAAAAGAGTAATGAGCTTAATATAAAATAAGTGTACCATTCTAATATAGCTGTGAGGATGGCAATGCAAACAAGGACGATACTGAAAGTGGTGATTGTGGTATAACATTTTTCTCGATATATCTCTCGTCCTTAGAACTGGACAAAACAAGAGAATGAAGGGCTGGGGAGAAGAGAGATAGAGAGTAGAAAGAGATCAAGGATTAGCAACGAATAGAAAACAAACAAAAGTCAAAAAAAGAAAAAGAAAAGTGCAAGCTGGGCGGGGGAAATGGTACTATGAGGAATCAGGAATGGAAAAGATATTTGAGGGGCTTATATACAAGGAAATAATAACAAGAGGGAAGGTGGGAAAATATTGTTATCCACAGATATCTAAGCGAAGGGCCAAAAAAGCACCAGAAATCCCAACGATAGATTCACCTCATCTCCAAGAGATAAGAGAAAGGGATGGATTTTGATGATGATTACTAGGCGGCTTTTGGGTCCATTTAACTCCTAGCCCCTAAAGGGCTAAACCCACACCATCTTACAGGCACCTTGTTCCTTTTTTTTTCTTTTTTTTTTTTTTTTTTTTTTTTTTTTTTTTTTTTTTTTTTTTTTTTTTGCTTTCCCTATATGTGTGTGTGGGTTCTACATTCTTCAAGACCCTTTTTTTTTTCTTTTTTTTTTTTTCACTGATCGATGCTGCCAAATTTAATCATAAACCTTTAACCTTCATAAATGAAACTTTATATTTCCCTAAAAAATGCATTCAAATTTCTTTTTTTTGTACTGACTAACGAATTGGCCTTTAAACTTTTTTATTTTGGCATGCAGTTGAGATCCTAATCATCCCCTATTGATTAACGTCCGTTATTAATCATCGTTAAAGATTAGGATATATTGTCAAATTTAATACCATAAGTGCTGATAATAAAGTTTGGGGTTCGACTTACAAATAACCAAAGATTCAGGATATAACAGAACAAATTACCCCTCTTTAGGGTGGATGTTTATAGGTCAAGTGGTATAATAAATGTAAACTCAAGTGAGATTATTATTATTATTATTTTTTGTTAGTCAATTGAGATGTGTTAAAATTGTCTGATAACAGTTATACCTCTTTTCATTTTGCAGAAATCAGTCCACAAAGTGAACATATGGTGGTCCTTAATCTCACCCTGCAAATTGAACGTATGGTGGTCCCTAATCCTTGGCTGAACGGTGCATATTATTAATATACAGGCTTCTTTAAATTTTTTTTTTTTTTTTTTTTTTTTTTTTGGGGAAATTAATTGGTATAAAGCAGTGCCTAGTCTTTGATGAGTGAATAATGACCTTTCGATTGAGGAGAATTTTCAGTGTACAAACATCGGCCACGTTTTAGATCATATATTTGTTGTATTTGAATCTAGTTGACACCTTGAAGGGCACATATTAGAGCTTCATTTTGTTAATAATTAAATGGAAGAAAAATGCTTTAATTTGGCCTTCGCCTACTTTGATGCCAACGTTTCCTTTTTTTTTTTCTTTTTTTTTTTGGGTAAGAAATCATTCATTACTTGGAAGTTTGAGGCCAACTTCCACTAATTAAAACTAACGTAATTATTTCTCACTTTTAATTCAATCCGTTAATCGAATGCATTTCTGCTTGTGGCCTGAACAATAATTGAAAACACATGGAACATACAGAAAAAAACTGACCTATTTTTTCTTACCTTAAATTGAGAAAAATGAGAATAAGGCCAAAGAGTTTTGTGAGATCATAACTGACAAATGGATCAATCGGTGTGCACCTGAAAAATAGTACTCATGAGAGATAGGCAATAGGTTGCCACTGAATATGTGCTATCGAGAGTCCGTTTAATTTACTGATTTAAATTTTTAATTTAAATTAAGATGTAATTTTATATAAAAAAAATTTTATTGTAGTAAAAAAAATTAAATGTGACTGTTTTTAAAAAAAAATTTATTATAATAAAACTCAAATTTTAAACTCAAATCTATACAATGAATAAAATATCAAGGTAAAAATCTGGAATCATTTTGAAGGACAACCACAAATATTACCTAATTAATATCACAATATAAGAACAATTTTCATTTGCCGTCCCGTCCATCATAATTATCAGCCAAATAGCTCTGGTTTTTTTTAATTAAAAAAATAAATGTATTGAAGAAAAGTGGGGACAAATTCCATTGACCAAATTGATGTGAAAATTACAAGTGCACAATATTATATACAAGTAATAAAGTGATAGAGTACAGACTCATTTTCACGGAGACTGATAATTAAAATTCTACTAAGTACTGAAATTATAAAAATTCTAATTTTATCTAACAGATTGATTTCAAAGAGTGATTATGAATTCTAAACTAATTAAATGGTGGAAATAATAAAATTATGAAGGACTAATATAAGAAAAATCTAGGGATCAAATTTCACCTTCCCAATCCATATTAATTCCCCAAAGTTATATTCCTAAACTCGAATAATTCATCAAGTGACAGTTGAAGGCCCTAAAAATTATTACTATCCTCTTCCAATTCAAGTAATAATATAAAACTCACTGACTCAATTTTTTATATTCCTATGTAAAATTGAACCAACAAGAAGTATTATGATTTATGTTTTTCGAATGACTACTGCATCAATCTCACGAGTATATTCCTATTTTCTCAATCAAACAATGTTATTCTATCAAAGATCACAATTCTAACCTCCTTTTCCAATTTGGTTAAGAATAATCAAATCGATTAATTGGGTGATCAAATCAATTAAACGCATTAAGAATAAGATAGAATAATCACTTGAATTAAAACATCTGAGAATTGGAATTGATAATGGGAAATTAAGAATTCATGGTAGGATCCATAGTCACCCTAGAATGAAAAAGTTAGAACATAATGGAAACTATAAATATCAAAATAAAATTGTTCGAGGACATGATTAAAACTAAGAAAAGAAAATACAAAAGATGAAATCAAGAGCCTGATGCTAGAAGGAATCCCTGACCGTCACTCTCTAGGCGTCAATTGTCCCCCACCAATTGCCTTAGAATCATCTATTTATATGTCTCCGAGCATTAGAGTCAAAACAAGTAAGTTTTCTCGCGATTAGCCTTCAAAACGCATCTTTTCTCGCGTCGTAGCACCACGGCGCTGAGTTCCTAGCGCTGCGGCGCTACTGTGTAAAAATCATGGGCGTTGCGGCGCTGTCATGGGCGCCAAAGCGCTGCCCATTCTACCCCACTGCACTGATTCCGTCGGATTTCAGCGCCAAGGCACTACAAACTGGCGCCAAAGTGCCACCCATTCTGCCCCACTGTGCTGATTCTGTAAAACTCAGCGCCAAGGCGCTATAGATTGGCGCCTAAGCGCTATGTTTGCTGTCTTTTTCCACCAAAACTTGTCCAAAACCTTCCAAATCATAGACTTTCACCTAACCTTCAAACAAAGAACGGAAACACACATAAAAACTAATAAAACCTCGAAAACTAACTAAATATTAAGTGTAAAATAATATTAAATGAGCGAGTAAAACTCACTCATCACAAATAACATCAGCGACAAAAAAAAGTAGTGTTCTATTATGTATATTACATATACTAGTTCAAAACGTGCATAGAGACAAAATTTTGTAGGTAAAAATAAAAAATATTATTAGGGTCACATTTAAAGAAATTAAAAAATATATAATAAGACAAAATGGATAAGAACGAGAAAAAGAGAAAAATAAAAAAAAATATATATATATAATAGAGAAAAAAAAAAGATAAGAATGTAAAAATAATAAACAAGAAAAAAAAAAAAGAGAAAAAAGGGAGAAAGTTAAAAAAAAAAAAATCCCCGAAACTGAGCCAACAAAGCGCAAAAAAACCATTTTTCTTTAGTAGAAGGGTATGGATTTATATGTGCTATTTTTTTTCCTAATCCATTATATGCTAATTAAAATGCCAATTGTCTTGACTATATTAATTTGGGATCCGTTTAGTTCGTTAATTTGAGTTTGTAATTTGAGTTGAGATGTAATTTTATGTGAAAATTTTTTATTGTAACAAAAAAGTTAAATGTGACTATTTTTTTAAAAAAAATTTACTGTAATAAAACTTAAATTTTAAAATTAAATCCGTAAAGTAAACGATACTTTATTTTTACATCAGACCGCGTGAGCTTGCAATTTCCTTGTGTTTCATTACGAAAAAATGAAACACCTTTGTCTTTAGCCTAATAATACAAAGAAAGGAAGCTTAACCAAATGACTTGAACAAATCCGAACTCAAGATTCACGTTTTGCACTGTTCTTTACTTGGAGTCCGTATTTTGGACCAAATAAGTGGGGTCATGACATTCGTCGCCTTTTAAGGCTAAAGGATTCTTGGAAATTAAGCGGCAATTTCGGTTTGTTGCATTAAGAAAAATATTTTACCAATTTGAACAAATCACCAAGGAATTGGTAATTATATATATATATATCGCCTATATCTATATATATTGCTAGATTCCAAATGTGTGTTATGATCACGTCAGTTGAAAGCTGAACCATGCCATGCTAATTGATAATATCCCCAACTCCCAGAAAACGAAAAAAGGAAAAAGAGAACAGCCTTCGGCTTTTTTTCAATTTAAGCATTGTTCAGTTCATTGATTCGAATTTTTAATTTGAGTTGAAATGTAATTTTATATGAGAGCTTTTAACTGTAGCAGAAAATGTTAAAAATGACTGTTTTTTAAGAATTTTTAACTGTAATAAAATTAAAATTCAAAACTCAAATCGGTGAAATAAATGAGACTTAAGTGTTCCCTACATCCTTTCAAATATTGTCACTCAAAATAACCAATTTCCGATAAAATATGATGAAACGTAAATTAAGGAACCGCATGGATAACCAAAGCAAAAACTTGGTATTATAAGGCTTAATCTCATTGTTAATGTGTAATTTGCTTTTCCTTCTAAATGTATGTACTATTTTATATTGTTCGACAGGGTACTAAAAGCATTTAAAACCCACTTTAATAATTCAATTTCCACCGTGCATAACATAAGCACTTATTTTCATCATTTCTTAAACAATCAGTTGATAGATTGATTAATTTTATCATAATAAAAAATTGGTAGAGTTAAACTTTGAGACGATTTACATGTCAGAAACTAAAATAAAAATTGATGTAACGTTCATGGACTATTTCAAATATAATTCAAATTATGAATGCAAAAAGTGGCATAAGGGTATATGTATCTTCTCATATGTCATATGAATTTCCTAATCTTAAAGTTATAGAAAAAGAAAACCTCATTTAACTTGTGGTAAAATAAAAATAGATTACGATCTTGTAACTTTTTGAGAGGAACGATCTAGTAACTAAAACAATGGAATGCCTTCCAGAAGCAAAAAAAAAAAAAATCCGTTTCCGCGGTGCATTAGTGTTGGGAACAATTTATGGACTTTGATGTGGTATTTTGCAATAATTATATCTTATTTATAAGACAATAATTATTACTTTAAAAGATTACGTGACCATGATAAATCAACGGGAATACCAAATCTATAGGCCCACCAATTCTTTTTTTTTTTTTTTTCAAGAAAAAAAAAACCTGAAAATTACAATGGATGCTTAATATGATGATGCATTGCAAGGCATGTGGATTGAATATTGAAATGGCCGACTAGTAACGTGTTAAGCGCATGTGAGAGTCTGAAAGGCCATCCAAAGTTCCAAACACGGCTTTTTGACAAAACACCCTACTAAGCCTAAAGATTTGTAATTATGCAGACTTTTATGGGTCAGTGAAAGCACAGATTCGCAGTACATAGCACTACATATTAAAATTTCAAAATTGAAATTCTATGATGAGAACAATTCATGTTTGGCATGCAGCCAAAACTTATACACACACAAATATACATATACATATATATATATATATATATATAGCTTTGGATCTAAGAAAAAAACTACTTTCTTATCCTTTTGCGGTACCTTCCAATTTCAATATTGTCACGTTAATTATAATATTGATATTTTATTTGTGGTGTTGGGAAGACTAGTACTAATTAAGCATGGATTAGGATTGGCATTAAAGCAATGGCGTGGATAATGCTATGATCTGATCATGGTCATGACCAACCTTTTGCACTGCGAATGCACATGGGTCTTTCGTAATTTGGGTCAACCACATCAAATGGTTGGGATTTTTTGGTGTATTGGCTTCTTTTTTTTTTTTTTTTTTTTTTTTTTTTTAAAAAATTTAAATTTTATTATAAATTCTACCTGGCTGACTTAGTACAAGTACGCATTTTAAAAAACTTTACTTATTGATTAGTTGTAGTTTAAAAAGTAAAAATATATGAGCTAATATTAATGAATAGAAATAAAAAGACTATTTCAATGAGTATTTTTTTAAAATTTTTTAATTTTTTTATTTTTTTGAAGAAAAAGGCCAATTTGCATTTTGTGAGGCACAAGCCTTCGGCATAATAATATTGCTTATAAGCAAATTCTATTTGGCACTGGTTGTGTTCATAATTGGATTTTTAAAAATTGTATAGCAATACTAGTATTGTTTTTAGCATTTTTAACTAGTGTAGGAAGTTATAACCTTTTTTTTTTCTTTTTTTCCCTTGAAGATAAAAGGCTTTTATTTCTAAAAGGGTTATAAGGTCTTAATTTCAAAGGACATAACATTTTAGCACATTTTAGCATTTTTTAATCTATATATCACCGTTATGAGACTAACTCGAGCTTAAGACCTTATCGGATAAAATAAGCATTTTCACGACCCTAAATAAATGTTAGCCGGAAGTTATAAGTTGATTAAAATAATTTTTTATTTTTTATTTTTTTTTACTACAGATTTATTCTACCTACGCTACCTGTCAAACTAGATTAGAAGTCCATTTTCGGCTTAAGCACACAGTTATAGCTTTGTAATTTGTATTTAATTAAATTAAGCGAGGAGATTGATTAATTCAGACTTGGTATTGGACAGCTGTGAGTTTTGATCAATGTGGTGCTTAATTATCTGGTTCACACATTGGAATCAGTGTGGCCACTGGTCAGCCCAACATGTTGATAACCATATACGCCTCATACAAATTATATATATATATATATAAATATATATACATATATATATATATATATATTCATTGGTTAGGAATTAGAATTGATTATATAATGGATCATCTATTGGAATACGATAAGGTTTATGGTAGTGTGGTTGGTCCGCTGTATCTAATTCCGTGAATGAAGGGCAGGCAGAGAACTCTTATGTGTCTGTTTGCTCACCCGCCAAAATTACCCGCCAACAATAGTGGGCCCAGTCGGGCTGGGGCCCATGTGGTGCAGTCAGCCCATGACTCAACCTCTCCTCATTCTTTTTCCCGCTTTATATTTAATTCTCTCCGAATCATTCATTTCATACCCACCTAAAGCATCTCTTCATAATTCACCTTGCCCTCATTTTTATTAATTAGTATTTATTTATTGTAAATATCGAGAGGTGAAAAAATAAAAAATAAAAAAATAAAACTAATTGATAATTCACCTGAGTATTAGATCATGGAAAACGTCTTGACTTGACAATTAATTATTACTCTTAATTTTTGATATCATGTGTTGATATTATTATTTGGAGAAATTTGAAGGGGTTTTTTCGTACCCTTCTTCTTTGATTGAAAAATATGAGACAAGACACGTTTTTTTTTTTTTTTTTTTTTTTCTTCTGATAAAAAATGTCTACTTTTCAAAGGAAAGTCTTGCAAATCACCAACGCTCTTAGAGACAGACGGCCGAAACCAAGGGGTATTATTTTGACAATGGAGTCAACTAGAAATAGTAATAATCAAATGGAAATATAAATGGAATGAAATATTCGAGCATTTATTCTTTAATTTTCAAAATTGTTAGCCAAAGAATATTTAAGACATTAAAATAAAATAAAAAAAGAAAGAAAAAAAGGTTGGTGGAGATAATAAAGTAAGCGGAATTCTAGACAAACTGTTCCCCTCCTCCGTTGCCAATTAGGACATTATATCCATTTATTTTATCTATTTTATGTTACAATATTTATCTTTGCCTCTCTACTTTCTATTTTGTAATTATTATCATTTTTTTTTTTGTTTGGGACAAGAGAAAAAGGAAAGAAAATAATAAAAAGACAAAACAAAAGAAAAGAAAGTAAGAAAAGAAGAAAGAACGGCAATCAGTTTGTGTAACCATACCACACCACCGATTTTATTCATTCGTTCATTCATACTCACTAATAATTCCCCCACTCTCTTTCTCTCTCCTCTGTCTCTCTCTCTCTCTCTTTCTCCCACTCTCACCGCACCTCTTCTTCCCACCTCTTACTATTCCTCTCCTTTTTCTTTTCTTTGCTATTAATTCATTCATTCTTCTTCTTCTTTGGTTACCCATTTCCAGATTTTTCTCTCTCTATAACCCACAAGGGAAAAAAAAATCGATACTTTTTTTTTTTTTTTTTGGTTTTCTGGCATTTGAGTGGTGGTGGGTAATTTGGATCATCGCTGTGACGGGAGGTCCTAGATGATCGGTCCCTTTTTTCTTATCTACAAAGCATTGTATTTTTCGAGGTATCTTTTTTTTATTAAAAAATTATCTTTTGTTGCTGTTGTTATTGTCTTCTACGAAAGCGTTTCTTTTGGTTTCCGGGTTTTGATTTTTGGAGTTGGCGTGGGATTGCAGGATCTGGGTTGGAGCTAGATTTTCTTGAGATTGAATCGAAAGGGCTGTTTTTACTCCGAGGTAACTTGTTTTATTTTCTCTTCTTTCCTTTTTTTAAATTTTTTTCTATTTTTTGTTAATTTGTGGGATGATTTTGGGAAAGATTCTATATCTAGCCGAGATAGGAAGGAATCTTGGATGAGTTGAGATGAGGATTGCGTTCTAGGAAGGTTTTTATAAAAATAAAAAAAATAAAAAAAAGATTTTTTTGTTGCCTTATTTGATGTAAAATAGCTATTTGTTTTAGTATTTGTTGTTGAAACCTGATCAAAATGGATGGTTTCTTCCTGGGCTTCTTTTCTTTTTTACAGATTCTCTTACCTCTATTTCTTGGAAGACTTTTTCAGTGATTCCCTTCAAGTTTTGCTTTACATTCTTGTATATGGATTTGTTTAACCTTCTAAGTATTTCTTGTTTTTCATCAAAATTTTTCTTTTAATTATCTATTTTCTGGCTTTCTATTGATTCACAAAGGAACTATTTTTCTTCATTTCTTTCCTCTCTATCTATTAAGCTTCCTTTTGCATCTCTTTTATGTAGTCAAAGGATTATATGCGTATGGGTTTTATTTACCTGGGATAAATTTTTATGTATTTTTGGCTTTTTTCATCAGTTTGACCAACTTTTTTTTTTATAGGCAATGCAAGTTTCTGGCGTGTAACCTCTAACTTTAATTTGGCTTTTTGAAAGCTTAAGTTTATCATTTGTCATGCTGATCTTCTATTAGTTCGAGTTTCTTTTTTTTTTTTTTTTTTTTTTTAGTTTCATAGCTGATGTAGAAAAATTGAAACTTTTTTTTTTCTTTTTGAAAAGTTAAGTAAATTGAAACTTGTGCGTGTCTTGACTCAGGTTAGTAATAATCATTGGATTTTCTGGATTTTTGGATTTATAAATGACATTGGCAGATAAAAGATTGAGACTTCTGTGGTGTATGTTTATGCTTATGCAAGAATCTCGTGTTTTCGCGTGGATTGATGTGCATAATTTTTAGCTTGGAACTACATTAGCACTTGGAGAGGAAAAAAGACTAGGCATTAATGTTTGCTGTTATGATTGATTATAGAAATTTCAATTGATGAACGCACTTATGAAAACAGAAAGCTTGTATGAATAGAATAATGATGCTGAAAATTTCTGCATTTTTTTAATCTAAGCGAAGTCAATATCGTATTTGGATTGAGAGTGTCTGTGTGTGTGTGTGTTTTGGCTAAGTTTGATTCATAAGCTATTCAACTTTAGAAAAGCCAATCTTGAGTCGTGGCACAGTTTTTAGTAGATGAGCTTCTTCCCAGTGAATATTAGATTGACTCTTTTCTTCCCTCGTATCTCGCAGGTGGATCCAACGGGTTTATTTTAAGGCAACATAAGTTAAAGGCAGATTAGTTTCTGTTCTATAAAAATGTTGGGAGGAAACAATGGTAATCCTGTGCTTCCTATGTTCCTTGATGAAAATCGTTTCCCGTATCAAACAAATGCTTCAAATCAGCTGCAGCTCTTCGGAAATGGTGAGTTCCATTCAGCCTTTGCAATGTAATTCGGATGTTTTGTTAATTCTGTTTGTTTATGTTTGCGTTTATGCTTTGTTGGATGGTACTATGACAGTTTCTTTGCTCTGGATTGTTTGGGCTACAGATTGAGTAACTTAGCTGCCCCTACTTTAGGCTGTCTATCCTTCTCTCCTTTTGTCATTACTACAATGGCACATGCTTGGAATTCTTCTTCCTTTTGCTATTATTAGTTAGCAGATTGCATGTGTAGGTTTATTGTGTGATTTACTCCATGTCTCCTCAGTTTTTATCACTTTGTCAAATTCGTGTTTTCTCCAAAATGTTCTCTTGCATTATTTGCAGTTGGATTTGACTCGGAGAATAACAAATTTGCAATTTATATTGCAGTTCCAAATGGATGTGGTGTTGATCCAGTAAATTACTTTGGAAATGAGCATATTAATCCCATGATTCGGCCTACTAAACGAAGCAGGGAAATGGATGATATCTCGAGGCAGCAGAAGCTTCAGATTTCCTTGAACTATAATGTCTGTCAAGATGAAGTTGATCGCTCGGCCAGCATTCCTAATCCAAATCCTGTTTCAACGGGTTTGAGGTTATCATATGACGATGACGAGCGCAATTCATCTGTTACTTCCGCAAGTGGAAGCATGACAGCAGCACCTTCAATCATCTACTCCCTTGGTGACAATGTAAGAACCGAACTCGATCGGCAGAAAGAAGAGTTTGATCGGTATATGAAAATTCAGGTAATAATACCCTTTGAGTACACTCCAACGTATCTCTCTGAGCCTTATGTGGCAATCTACTCGACATTCGAAATAAGTTCCAACTTCTTGTTGTGTGATATGGTTTCTGCATCTTAAAATGGATCTTTCCTCACTCTTCAAACAGGAGGAGCACATGGCAAAGGGAGTAAGAGATATGAAGCAAAGACATATTTCGGCTTTCCTTGCTGCTATAGAGAAGGGTGTCAGCAAGAAACTTCGTGAGAAAGACGTCGAGATTGAGAACATGAACCGGAAGAACAAGGAGCTGGTCGAAAGAATAAAGCAGGTGGCCATGGAAGCTCAGAGCTGGCACTATAGAGCAAAATACAACGAGTCAGTGGTTAATGTTCTAAAGAGCAACCTCCAGCAGGCAATTTCACAGGGTGCAGACCAAGGGAAGGAAGGATTTGGAGATAGTGAAGTCGACGATGCGGCTTCATACGTTGATCCGAATAATTTATTAAGTGTTCCCGGTGGCGCTTTGAAATCGACTTCCAAGAATTATCAGGGGTTGAAGGAGCACATGACTTGCAGAGCATGCAGATCAAAGGAGGTCTCCATGTTGTTGATGCCTTGTAGGCATCTGTGTTTATGTAAAGACTGTGATGGCTTTATCGGTGTTTGCCCTGTATGCCAATCCATGAAAACTGCAAGTGTCCAAGTGTATCTGTCCTAATTATCAAGCAAATAACTTAAAAAAGGAAAGTTATAGCACTGTTTTTACTGTGTGATATTGTGATTTCCTGTCACTTGAGTTTTTAAAGGTGAAAAGAAAATGTAAGCAGAAATAAATGGTTTGTCTTCATAAAACAGTGTGCTTTTTCTTTTAAATGTGGTCTCTTGTATTCACAGACTCGCAGCTCACTTGATGACCCCCTGAGTTGAGAAGCCCTGGATAGCCAAAAAAGTTCGTAGTGCATCTTTCTTTCTTTATTTCCTTTTTCTGCATCTTTCTTTCTTTATTTCCTTTTTCTCAAAAAAAAGGCAAAATCGTTTTCTCTTTTCTATTTGCTTGCATATTAATACAACAGGTAGCTTTTATGGTGCCGAGAGAAGTATTTCCTACGCCATGTTAGGGATACGGCAATTTGTGCATTTTGTGACCGTTGTAGTTGGGTAAGTTATGAGACTTGTGAATTATAAAAGAATGCAATAATTTGTACATTTGAGCAGTATATTTGCGGAACTTTGAATATTGAAGTTAGTAAAATTACGATAAACTTGTCAACCGACACAGCCGAAGTGAAGGCACCATAGAAGGGCGGTTTCTTTTACATGTCATGAAATCCAAAATGGCATGTCCATGGGCAGATGATATCAAAAAAAGAGTGATTTAAGGGCAAAATAAGCCAGAGAGGCATCCAATTTGAAAATTTGACCGTCAAAGTCTAAATCATATGAATTTTGAGCCATCAATTTTCACACGCCATTGACTTGTAAAACACCAAAAATCCACGTATTCTCGAGACAACAGTTGAAGAGTACTTTCGTCTTGAGAATGTTTTCCTTGCAGATGCCGCACGATATAGTTCCTGAACGGAAAATTGGATTCACATCGAAGGAAGAGGACAATACACATTGAATGAAAAGTAAATTTGTATTAACGAAAATGACAAGAAAAATTTACATTATAATGGATACAAAAATAGATGGGCAACTAACATGAAATGATATGTAATCACTGGTAAAGCGGTACTACTACTACTAAGTCTACTAACCGCATCTTATCAAAATTAAGGTGATATAAGAGATTCAACCAAAATTTTTAGATGTTGGTGTCAGATTCTTCTTCTTCTATCATCGAAACGGGGTTTCTTGGATGCAGAACCATGTTGTATATGCTCACCACTTGATTGAGTCTACAACACAAACAAAATAGTTTATGGTTAAACGTCTATTAAGACGCTCTGGAGAAAAAAGCAAGCAGTTAAAATTTATCACCTTATTGAGCTTCTCCCTTACGGACTTAACAGTCTGATTCATTGATTGAGACGGGAAGTACTCCTTCAGAAGACAGCCATTCGTTAGTTTTGTTCTAAGAGATGATGAGCAACAATCTAAAATTTCAGGAGAACATTTTGATGTTGATGCAATCAAAAGGTTCTTCGTTACATAGGTAAGAAACAAAACTAATAATAGATAATATTTTCCACATGCTTAGATCAACTTGTGAACAAAATCTAGGCATAACATGCTTTTCTCCATCATTTTCAGTGTTCACATGCTAGATGCTCAATAAGGAAAGAATTTCATCCAATCCGCATATCCTGACTCAGCTCAGCCCAATTTGTACGGACTGAATTACAAATGTGTCATTTCCCTCGATTTCCAACCAAAATTCAAAGTTGGGGTTGTTTGGTTGGGAGATTCGTATGGTTCATGGTTCGCTACAGTGTTTTCTCTCACAAAAAATACACGTAAATAAAAAATGATTCTAATCTTATAATTCTAATCTTATGATTCTAATCCATAAACCAAACGTCTCCTAAATACCGAATCTGACAGGAGAAAGATTAATAGCTCAGGATGTTATTGTTGAAAACACAAACTTACCTTGTCAGAGGAAACTCTTGTCATTGGAGCATGACGAAGGTGGGACATAAGTTCTCGTTCTCCACTATTCCTACAGGGGGGAAAAAAGCCCCATCACAAATCATAACAGAAGTAGTTTCAAATGGCTCTACCGAGGAAATAGAAATGCCAAATCTTTGACTGCACACTACCTTTTACCAGTGTTTACTTGTTGGGGAAGGCCTGCCAGTGAAGGGCTTGCTTCGAAAGAAGCCTCAGCCAAAGAACCAGACTTTCCAACAACAGAATCTTTGGATCTTCCAGCTGATATCAAAGAGATTACAACTATCACTTCTGACGGATAATTCAACAAGATCACGTAACTCCAAAAAAGGAAAACTTCCATGTTGAATATCACAATGATATAGAGTAATATCAAAACTGCGAAGAAAAACAACATACAGTTTGATCTAGCCAAGACTTCCTTCCTCCTAGATTCTAGTTTTTCCTTGGTGTCGGAGAGGGTCTCGAAATGCGGTGCATAGGAAACATTCAACCGGTTGCCAAGGAAAACGTACTCATCCAATTTTCTCTTTGCGAACCTGGAATCGAGAAGCCATTTAATTGGAAAAGTATGCCTTTGAAAGCTAACGCCAAACACAATAAAACAAGCATAACAGAGTGACCTAGCATTGCTGACCGAACGAAATTTGATCCAGTAAACGTCAGTAAATTTCTCACAGTCCTCTGCATCCATTGGTTTACACCTAAAATCACACAACACCACTGAGCAAAACAAGAACAAAAAAAAAAAAAAAAAAAAGCCCAGACACTTTTTCCCGTCTGTTTCGCTTGTCTGAGTCAAGAAGTTGAGTTAAAAAGTGAATTCATATAAGAGAAAATACTGCACAGAAAAAGTTAAATTTGATTTTTTTTAGGAAAAGCAATAGTTAACTTTGAATTTTTTGAGAGCCAATATGACAAAATTTTTGTAATTTTTGTAATTCGAACTAGCTAAACAAATGATGCCTTATATTAGAAAATTAAAAAAATTAAAACGCAAATTACTCTTCTACGTCTCCATAGGTTGAAAATAATCTTAGCAACTCATCACCGCATCCTAACGCCGGAACGTTCCGTACAATTAAATATCTGCGAAGGAAAGGAAAATTCTTGAAAAAAAAAAATCCGAATCTGTTTTAAATTTGATAATTTCGATTAATTTCAAAAGAAATTAGGTCATCGGGATTCGGGATCGAAACAAATTTTCAGATTTGGAAGTGTGAGGGAACAGAGAGATAGAGAGACCTGGATTCATCGCAGACAGTGTAAACGCGAACAGCTGGAGGCTCATCTTTATATCGAGGCATTTAAGGATTTAGAAAGCAATTACCTGATCGTTAGAACGAGAAACATTTTCAAGAGTGGAACTAGAAAATTAAACAACTGTATTAAGAATTAAGAATCCTTGGAGATTGAGTTCGAGTAAGAATAAATTGTATGTTTGAAGAAAGAAAGGAAGAAGAAAACTACGAAAAAAAAAAACAGATGAAATACTGACCGGTGAAAAGTGGCGGTGGTTTCCGTCGGAGACTCTCCTCGTGATTTATTCGTTTTAATTCAATCAGACGTCGTCGTTCATCTATAATTTTTGAGGAGCTAGAAGAGTGCGCCAATGGAATGACAAAGTACTTAAAAATAATTTTAATATTTTTAGATTCTTTTTTTTTTTCCTTTTTTTTTTTTGATACTTAAGTTAAGAAGATAACAGTTTAAAATAAAAAAAAATGTAGAACATAAAATTAAAACAAAAATAAAATAGACAAGGAAAGTATATGTATTTCCCCTTTTTGTTAGTCTCTAAAACAAGGATGAAGATTGAAGGAACACACGTCGTGTTTAGAATTGATCCCGTTTTTATTTTTTACGTTTTTTAAAAAAAATAAAAATAAAAATGTTTCTAAAACGACGTTTGGCGCAATAAAGACAAAAAACGAAAATAAAAACGATTTTTTAGTTTAGTGTAAAATAAGAGAAAAATAAAAAATGACTTTTAATCGTTTTTCATTTTTTATTTTTGTTTTCTCCTCTCTCGAGCAGAGAGAAAGAGATAGAGACATTAATGGGTTTTTTATACTGAAAATAATCTATTGATAAAACTATAAAACGCATTTTTAAAAATAATTTCTGTTTGAGATTGAAAACGTTTTCATTTTCATTTTTATACAAAAAATAAAATCATTTTAGAACGAGTTCCAAACGCGCCCACAATTTTTTGTTTTTTCCTCTCAAAATAAATAGTTTTTTTTTTTTTGAAAAATACACTAAATAGCATATTTAGTACCTGTACAACATATTTTTTAAATGTGAATAAATTATAATATATCTTGAATTTTCATAGAAAATAAAATATTAGTCGTCTCTGGAGATTCTCCATTTTTTCTTATTTTGTTATTTGACAGAATTGTGCTTAAAGATTAACTCTATATCGTATGTCCACATAAGCGACAACATACCTTTAGAAGCAAATCTTAAACGACAAAAAGTTATAGAATACGAACGGGGGTGCGTTTTTCAGAAACGAAAAATTATAGACTGAACGACATATCATCTACTCCTATAAACGACAGAAAAATTTTGAACACAAGATATGTCCTACTTTTGTTTCTTTGTTTCTTCTTCTTTTTTTTTTTTCTTTTTTTTTTTTTTTTGAATTTTTGCTTAAACAACATCAAACTGTTTGCCACAAGAAAGTCTTTTCCAAAATCTAAGATAAGAAAACTTATGTGGTCGCCAAAATTAAGTAAAGCAAATTTTGCTGGAAATTCGACATTGTTTTTCAATATTTAATATGCTAGCAAAATTTATAATTCATACCACGTCTTGTTTATTCCTATATACACGACAAAAAAATCATAAATATATTGTTTCTACTTAAACGACATGAAACTGTTGTGACAATGTAGACATGTCGCTTTCCAAGGTATAAACAAGAAACGACTCATAAAAACCTTGTCGTTTCTTAAAAACATATCTATACTGTTTATAGATAGAATTCCATATATATTGAAAAAATTACAGAACTTACTTGACCCTTAGAATTAATTGACGCAAAAAAATATTAATTAATTGTAAAGAGTAAAAAGTGCCACCCACTCCCGCCGGCAGCCGTGTCACCCTCTCCCTCTGGCCGCCATCCTAGAGGCTGATTTTTACTTCTTGCAACGCTTAGGCTGACTTGCTAGCCGCGAGGGGTGGCCCGGCCCGCCTACAAAATGGTCAAAACAGTCGGTCTGTGACAATTAGACTTAGTATTTGTCTCATTTCTCTGTGTATAGTTGATTAAGGACAAATTGTATGTCTCTTTTTTAAGGCCTGTTTAAATTGAGGGATGGATTGGTAAAACATTAATGTTTTTTTTTTTTTTTCAACCTGATGTTTCTACTACCTTCTATTTATTATCCACTTTTTCCACGTTGAAAATTAGTCACATTTACAAAGCCCAAACGCTAAACCTTCGAGCCACCAAACATCGCGGCTACAATTGGCTTGAAGGGGTCCATCCTTGGTTATTCTGCCCATTTTTGGTTTAGGAAGTTGAGACCTATATCAACTTCAAGAAAAATGAGACTTTTTTTTTTTTTTTTTTTTTGAAAAGTTGATATAGGTCTCGTTTAGTTCAAACATTTGAACAGAAAATTTTAAACAAAAATTTAAATTTTATGAGAAAAAAATACTATAACAAAAAAAAGTTTAAACGATAATTTGAACGCATGAATAATTATCATCTTCATAGAACTTACACATGATATTCCATATTTCACATGCTCAATTGATATAGAGGCGACCATCATTTTATCAAATTATCCAACGATAGGGAAACCTAAATATTTATTACAAAAACATCCACATTCAGACATTATTCCAATTTGGTTACTTAACTCATATCTAGTGGAAAATAGGCAAAATCATGGTCTATGTAACCAAAAAAAAAAAAAAAGAAAGGAAAGAAACCAGTAAGATAATCTATAATGGCACACAAAGTTGCAGCTACATAAGAGAAAGTCTGAGCTACATTCCGCTGAAAGTGAAACCAAGCCTTCAGTACCTATGCGCCAACTTCTCTTTCTCCTGGTAAATCTGGACATACCTGCATGAAAAACACAGACAGAGAAACGATTTTTTGCACTAATTTCTTCAAGAATCAAACTTTGCATTACCAAATGCGAAGAAATCGATTCTAAAGGAAAGTAACTATCAAATTAAGTAACTATTAACAGAAAGTATCAATCTGCAAAACCTAGCCAAAAAAAAAGGGGGGGAGGGAAGTTTAGGTACGTGTAGGTGCCAACAAGAGGGGTGACGAGGAGGACGGCGTTGATCCAGTTCTCGGAGATCTTGTGGTGGATCTTGCCGGGAAGGTCCTTCCAGAGGCCCGACATCACCTTCTGCTGGAACGGCGACAGCGCGTACACCACCGCCTTCATTCTCACCGGTTGCTTCCCCATTTTCTTCTTCTTCTTCCGATTGAGAATTGCTTCGGACTACTTTGCAGAGATTTTGGGAAAGAAGAATCCTACGCCACTTCAATGTTTGTTCGGAATTTGGGTATTATCTTTTCGCTCGCGGGTATGGTCCTAACTTGGAATTCCGGAAACTACTACTGGCTTCCCTTAAAAAAGAAAAAAGAAAAAAGAAAAAAAAAAAAGGTGCTACTATTGGTACTGGCTTCTGTTCTGTTTTTGACAGGAAAACGCTGTGCCAAGTAACGTTTTTAGTATTGGTTCCTGTGAAAATTATTTTTAGTGCGGTAACGTATTGATATATCAAGTATTTTAATTGTTAAATTTATATAAAATTATATAAAAATTAAAATATATATAAATTTAATAATTAAAAAAATTTAACTTATCAATACGTATCAAAGATTATTCTTTGACTTATTTACCATTAATAAATAAAGAGTTTTTCTTATTATTCATCTTATCGATAGTTTTAATTTTTTACTGTTAAATTTAATTAAAATCACATGAAATAAAAAAATATGAAAAATAAACATATTTTAATATAAATTTAATGACTTAAAATAAAAAACTGTCAATAATCTATTTTCTCTGAAACACTGGAGAAACTACTTAATAAATTACTATACAGTTAATTATTATCTAATTATGTAAAGAGATATTTTAATAATTATATTCACAATATTTCTATTTCTAATTCTAGTTAACATAAGAAAATTTGTTTTTGATTACACTATTTAATAGTTAAATAAATATTTAAAAAAATTAATAACTTTTAATTTTATTATTTTATATTTTCAATCTTATTATTTTTCTTATCACATTCTTTAATTGTTTAATAAACGCACCCAAATTATACAATAACACATTTTCTTTTTATCTAGTCATATCAAATAAGAATTTCATCATTTTTTCATTGTTCCCAACCCACTGCCAAAAAAATGTCGTCCCGTTGAGAAGTGGAACAGCCTGCAAACTAATTTATTTCTGGCGAAACAAAGTAGACAAAAGCGTATATTTAATAAATGAAAGAAATTACGTAGTAAGGTACATTCCCTCTCTTTCCAAAAAGGGGGAAAAAAAAAACATTCCTCTAAGTATTCATCTTAAATTTTATACTCTATGAATTACCAATAAATATTAATAAAATTCCCACCTCCAAGATAAGAAAACTTCGCATCAAAGATTTGTATTTGTGAATTACCAGTGGTCTCGGTGAGAGGAGTCAAGACATCAATTTTATCTTAATTTAACAAATACTTGCTCTTTTCAAGAGGAGTTTATCTCCTGTTAACAAATAACAAGAGAACATTCCATGGTTCTCTAGCCGAAAAAAAAAAAAAAAAAAACAAAACCACACACACAAAAAAAAAAAAAAAAGAAAAAAAGAAAAAAGAGGACAATCCCTAAAACTTCTGCACACAAGTAGAATATTTTGATTTTTACATAACAAAATTTAGGATCATGGCTCAAGAAATAGTCGAATTTCTTACAAATATATCAAGTGGTAAATTCAAGAAAAACAAGACAATTAACGAGTAAATATGTGATTGATTAAGAATTATAGACCTAACTTTTCAGCAAAAAAAAAAAAAAGAACTAACTTATTTGTGCAAAACGAGTCTTTATTAAAGTGATAAACAATCATTAACATTGATGTTCTTGGAAATTAGGATTTTTTGACATTATTAGTCATGAAGTTGTACTGTTAAGATGTCGTATTTGGTCCATTTTTCTGCCCTATTAACTTGTGAACTAAGAGCATGTTTGTTTTATACACACAAATTCAAATTATTAATTCTGTTATAGTTTTCATCTTATAAAAAATTTAAATTTTAAACGTTAAAATTAAGAATTACGACTTGAGTATACCTTTCAAATGAACCCTAAATCTTTTTTAAAGTTTTGATTCATGTCTACAAAAGTTAATGAAACTAATCACATGAGTGTGACACTATAACTTTGAAATTTTTATAAAACAATTATATAACACAACAATATCCCTTGAATTTCATAATACTTTTCATATCATATGACATTTTTTGTAAAATTTCAAGTTTTTAAACTATTGGTACGTAACTACCTCAATTAAATTTTAAATTCTATGTTAAGTTTAAGGTAAGGAATTAAAACTGCCAAGCAAGCCAAATTATCACTTTGTAAAAAATTCAGAAGATGAATAGCTCTTACCTTTTATTTTTCTAAGAAATGTATCTATATAATCAAGTGGATTTTTCTTTTTGTTTTTTTGGTAATTTATAATACATAATCGCCCCTTATTGTACCCAACTATCACATTTCAATGCTATTCAATTTTTTGTTCTAAATGACAGTTTTATTGTTTTTTTATATGACGACTAATTCAATGTTGCTTCAATTAAAGGTCGTCACACATAATTCAATGTTAGCTATTATAACGAAAAAAAAAAAATCAATGTCAAATTCAATTCAATGAAAAATGCTTCTAATAATAAAAGAAAAAAAGTCTACTTGTAATTAATCTATTTATCAAAGCATTTAAAATTCAATCATTGCAAAAATAAACAAATAAATAAATAGGATGAGTATGACGCTTTAATTTAACGCCCCCGCCGCAAAAAGGGCAAAAAGATAGCTTTTTCCGTATTATATTAAGGACTAAATAGTAAATAAATAAATAATTAATTAATTAATTAGCTCCCTTGAGCAGCCAATTGAAAAGGCCAAGACAGAGGCAGGCAGATCCAGCAGGCAGCCAAGTTTATTCTTCTTCCTTCCACTGTCGAACGTGCGTGAATTCCGAGGTATTCTCTTCCATTTTTGTTCTCCACTACAATTCACACCTAGGGATTTCCATATCTTTTATTTCGTCTAAGAAAAATCATGACTTTTTTTTTTTTTTTTACTTTGAATTAATCTGCACGAATCAATGAAACATCCGAATTTATTAAGGCTTTCATTTTCGAAGCTTTTTTCTACTCAAATCAATGGTTAATTTTAATTTTTTGGGACTTGCACAGCCAAAATAAAAAAAGGAAAAAAAATCGAAAATAGGGAACTGTATTCGAGTGGAAAACGGGGAAATGGGATCTGAAGGGCCAAAGGCAGTGGTGATTAACGTGACTGGGTTCAAGAAGTTCCAAGGAGTTCCTGAGAATCCGACGGAAACCATTGTTAATAATCTCAAGGCCTTTGTGGAAAGCAAAGGGCTTCTTCCTGTTGGTGTTACTCTTGGGAGTTGCACTGTTCTTGAAACTGCTGGTCATGGCGCTTTGCCTGTTCTTTACAACACAATGGAAGCCGGAATCGCCAAGTCCAATGAGCAAGTTGTCTGGGTCTGTATCAGTCTTCATTTTTCAAGTTGTGCAATTTAATGTTATTTATTTATTTATTATTTTATTTGTTATTATTATTATTATTTAGTGTGCGATGACAGTAAAAAATTTTCACATAAAATCACATATCAATTCGAATTAAAAACTCAAATCAGCGAATTAAACGGGTTCTTAATTTATCAATATCTGGAGTTGGGATATTAGGAACTAGGGACCCATTTGGAATGTATACTCTGATTCTTGATTCTGAAGTTTGAAATTTAAATCTTTCGTGAGAGAAAAACACTGTAGCAGAATCAATTATTTGAGTTTGAGTATATGAAACAAACAGGTCCTAGGTGATTTTGGGAGGAGTTAGAGGGATTCTTTGGATGTTTTGACAATGATAGATAGATGTGGTCTTGTTCTTTTCACAAGTCAAATTCTATTATTACAGTATTTTCTCTTATAAAAATTTAAATTTAACTTTATTTATTACAATATTTTTCTCTTACATATACAACTTACAGTCTTTTATGAAACAAACGGATGCTTGGTGTTATGACCATGTTTGACATGACTTTCATTTCATTTTTCAAGTTGTGCAAATTAGGATTTTTTTTTTCTTTTTTAAGTTTGTGATGGAAATGTAGGTATTTGATTTACCGGATGTGTGAATATTTAGGGTTGGGATATGGGTAACTAGATGGTTTTGTGGAGATTTAAAGGGAATTCTTTGAATGTATTGACAATAAAATGATAAAATGATGGTTAGGCTGACTTTGGAATCTCTGGAGAATCGGACTTGTGAGACCTCTGGGAATTTCAAAACATGTTTGATAATTGTTTGTTTGGTAGCTTAACGCGACTTCTACTGAACTTTAAACGGATCATCAGCATTTTCATAGTACGTTTTGACCACTCCACTGTATTTCCTATATCATATATTAGCTAGTTTGCCTGAAGATCAGTAGCAAAAAAAAAAAAAAATCTCCAGAAGAAAAAAAAAAAAAAAAAATCTCCTGAAGATAAGTACATAATGCAATCGCTTGTTTTATTTATTTTATTGCTAAGTTTTTGTTGCCTTGATTTTTTGAAGACAAAAGTTCTAAACAATGATATCCAAGGACGTTTTTGATGATGTTGGGATAGTTGGTAGAAAACATCGTAGATGTTTGTTATGGAGAAGCATATGTTAGTGACTACCTCCGGTGTTTTCTGAGTTGAGCTTTTTGGTGGTCTAAAAGCCTTTACTTTCATTGTTTCTTCAGCTTCACTTGGGAGTGAATAGCGGGGCAACAAAGTTCGCCATAGAGCGGCAGGCAGTAAATGAAGCAGCTTTCCGTTGTCCAGATGAGTTAGGATGGAAACCTCAGGTAGATGCGCGTCATCATTGTAACTTAACTAATCTATGTTATATGGCTTTAGGATATTTTTTATTTTCAGTTTGTTGATGATTAGTGTACTACATTTGGAAAAAAGTGTCACTGGAAAAATCTTAGGTTTTTGCTGCCTAATCTTTTTTTTTCTTTTTTTTTGCTTTGCTCATATTCTCTGTGTTCTTATTTTCCCAGCAAGCTCAGATAGTCCCCGAGGACGGGGGAACTTCGAATATCAGAAAGGTATTTTATTTTCTCTTCCGAGCATTAAGCTGTGGATGGAGGGTTGCCATCTCGGAATTCTCTCCCTCTTTCAATTCAACGCTTTTATGTTTGCTAACTTTTCAATGCCAACATGTTCTCGACAAAGACTTGTTGCTCTGTCGAGGCGATCCATAAGTTCTTGAAGAAGAAAGGATATGATGCGACGATATCAGATGATGCGGGACGCTTCGTGTGCAATTACGTGTATTACCAATCTCTTCGGTTTGCTGAACAGAATGGTCATAAATCCTTGTTCGTCCATGTTCCTCTCTTTTCAAGAATTGATGGAGAAACCCAGATGCGTTTTGCAGTTGCCCTGTTGGAGGCCATAGGTGCTACATGTTAATGCTATCTATCCAAATGGTTTTGAGTTTTCATGACCATCACATGCTTAAAATGTAAATCCGCCGTGTGAATATCAATTTAATTGTAAGATTAAACTTGTGGATTGCTGTTTGGTTTTTTTGTCGGGGAAAGAAACTGATGGAAGGATTTACTGCAGTTTGTTTCTTCTAAAGTTCCTTTTGGGGTTTTTTAATCAATCACATTCAGCTTTAAAGAATGGTGAATAAAGAGGATGAATGAAGCAAAATATTAGACGTTTTTTTTTTTTTTTTTGCATAATTTTGGATTTATTTGCGCAGAAATAATTAAAAGTTGGTTTGAGCACTTCCTATGTGGCAGCTCTTCCTCTATCTTTTTTTTCCCTTTACTTTTTGCTATTTAAAGAACTTTTTTGCATAATAAAGAGGATGAATGAACCAAAATTTCAGATTGTGATTTCTTCATTTTATTTTATGTGAAATTTCGGAAGCTAAGCAAAGACTTTGAATGTTTTTCTCTTGTTTTGTTAAGATTGCATTACAAAATGTCTTAAAGCAAAAAACTTGCATTCTCTACAAGCGAAAGCACACTATTTGCGTGCAAAACCAGATGTTATTGTTAAATTTAGACCTTTAAAAGTGAGGCCTTTAATTATTATTATTATTATTATTATTATTATTAGTTTTTGATCAATTAATTATTATTATTTTGACATGTCCCAGAAAAGGAAAGGGGGAACAAAATTGAATAATAGAAACGGAATTCGTACAACTTAAGTTGGTATTCTTTATCCAAACACAGGAAAAAAAATAATAAAAAAGTAACAGACAGTAAAAGTTGGTTGAAACTTGAAACTAGACAGTTTCTCGTTTGGAAGTTATTGCAAATGTTTTTCTCTCATATGTCAATTTTACCTCACAAAGGCACTTTGGTAAGAAAATGTACTAGATTTCTGCTGTTTGTACGGAACATAACGAACTCTGCACCTATAGCTTTAACAACCTCGTCTCTGAGGTTAGAATCTTACTGTGAAGAGAACGCCAATGACAGAGTTTATGCCAAGAATCGGAACATAGACAGTTTGATCAAAGCCGGAAATCTTGATCACGCACTTAAGTTGTTCGATGAAATGCCGCTTTGTGACGTTGTCACCTATAACTTGCTAATTTCCGGGCACCGCCGATATGGGCATCCAAGAATGGCTCTTAAGTTCTATGCAGAAATGGTTTCACAAGGAATTCGAGAAAGCGCGTCGACATTGTCTTTGGTCTTAGGTGTTTGTGCCGATGCAAGGTTTTACAAGGAAGGGATTCAAGTTCACTGCAGGGCTGTTTGTCTTGGATTTAGCACGAATATGTTCGTCGGAAGTAGTCTAATTAATCTCTATATGAGTATGGAACTCTTCAACTTAGCTTTGAATTTGTCTGACGAAATGCCTGAGAGAAATTTAGCGACATGGAATTTGATATTACGCGGGTTTAGTGACCTGCAGGTTCGAGTGGGCGAGATGGTGGGATTGTTTGCTAGGATGAAATGGGACGGTTTGGAGCCAAATGGGGTTACTTTTAGTTATTTAATTGGTGGATGTAGTAATGGAAGATCTTTTGATGAAGGAAAGCAGTTGCATTGTCATGCTATTAAGGTCGGATTAGTAGAGATGAATATATTTGTAGCCAATGCCCTTGTTGATTTTTACTCTGCTTGTGATAGGTTTACTGATGCAAGGAAAGCCTTTGAAGCTATACCTCCGAAGGATGTGATTTCGTGGAATTCGATTGTCTGGGTGTATGCGAATAACGGGTTACTGCTTGATGCTCTTGAACTGTTTTCTGCGATGCGGTTTTGGGGTAACAGACCGTCAATTCGTTCACTTGTAGGACTACTGAATTTTGCTAGCGGGACCAAAAATATTGAACTTGGGAAGCAGATACACTGTCATGCCGTGAAATCAGGATTTGAGTGTGAGAGTGTTCATATCCAATCCGCCTTAATAAACGTGTATGGAAAATGCGGTGACGTTGAGGGATCCGTGGCCGTATATGAAAGTGCTGAAGAAAGAACTCTGGAGTGTTGCAACTCTTTAATGACATCTTTGTTGCATTGCGGTTTTATTGGAGATGTGGTTGAGATGTTTGGTTTGATGGTTGATGAAGGAATTGGGCTCGACGAAGTGACTCTCTCGACAACCCTGAAAGCCTTATCAATCTCTTCTCTCGCGAGCTCATCCAGTTTCAAATTACTGCACTCCCGTGCAGTAAAATCTGGACTTGAATCTGATATTGCGGTTTCATGTTCACTGATTGACGCGTATTCAAAACATGGTTACATCAAGCTCTCGCGTCAGGTTTTTGAAAATCTTTCTTCACCAAACGTCAAATGTTTTACATCGATCATCAATGGATATGCCCAGAATGGAATGGGAAGGGAAAGTCTTGATTTGTTTCATGCAATGATCCGAAAGGGTCTAAAACCCGATAAGGTCACATTCTTGTGTGTGTTAACGGGCTGCAACCATTCTGGGCTGGTTAGAGAAGGAAAAGTGCTTTTTGATGCACTGAAAAGCTCATATGGGGTTTCTCCAGATCGACAGCATTATTCATGTATGGTCGATCTTTTAGGCCGCGCGGGCTTGTTAGAAGAAGCCAAAAAGTTACTTGAGCAGGCACCAGGAAGAGGAGACGCCACGATGTGGAGCTCATTACTGCGGAGTTGCAGGATGCACAAAAATGAAACTCTGGGAAGACGAGCAGCCGAAGTCTTGTTGGAGCTTGAGCCGGAGAATCCTGCAATTTATTTACAAGTCTCAAGCTTTTATTCTGAATTCGAGGAGTTTTCAACTTCATTGCAAATTAGAGAGCTTGCAGTTGCAAGGAAGGTGACAAGAGAGATTGGTCACAGTTTGATTGAGACAAGCAGTTATCGTTAATGTTAGCTTCTTGTGCATAGCTTTACTTCAGAAACAATTCTCCTTTCTATTTTTTACTTTTATCTTTTTAGGTTTGTATTTTTTGCGAAGAATTTGGCGTGCATGCAGTGAAAAAAAAAATGATCTGCATTTCTTTTGCCACTTTTTGGTCTAACTAATCTAGTGACCTTTTTTGATTTTGTCAGATGTTGATGACAACTTTATTATTATTATTTTCTTACATGGCATCTTTGTATGTTGCACCAATATTTTATTTTACAATACGTGAAACACATTATCTAGAAACTGTTGCAACTTGCATTTTTTTCTCCTAGAGAAAGAGGACCATAGGCAGGACCCATGAACACTGTTGCTGGTGCATTTTTGTTTCACTGGTTGAAGAGTAAAGCAACGAACTTAAAAAATATTTCCTTGTACTTTAAGGGTGGGCATGTAGAAAACTGTAACATCTTTATCTACTTTCAAGCCAAGCTATATAGTCCACAAACCCCTTCATTTCCAAAACTAATCTGCATGTATAAATTATAACCCATTTTACATTGGATTTTATACAAATCAATCAACCAATCTAGCAAAGAAGCCTGAAGAAACAGAAAAAAAAATGGATAAATTGTTCGTGCTTTCATTTCTTGGTCTGTTGATAGCGTCTTATGGAGTTGCAGGAAAAAAGGTGCGTGACGACATTGGCATGCTTGATGAGCTAGAAGAAAGCTTTGACATAGAAGAAGAAGATAATGATTTCAACTTTTTTGATATCCCGCCGTGGAAAAGTGAACGTGGTGGAAAGGTTCTTGTGAACGTAGACAGCTTTGGTGCTGCTGGAGATGGAATTTCTGATGATACCCAGGTGAACTACTATTTCTTTATATTTGATATTATGTTTTGTTTGAATGTGATTCAGTTGTTTATCTTTAGATAGATACTAACTTGACAAAAAACGAGGCTATTGGATTAATAGTAAAACATGACTGATAATGCAAGAATAGTTGATGCTTTAGCCTAAGGTCCAAACTTTCCAACTCTAAAAAGGGTTTAATATTTTTAAAAGCACTTAAAAATAGTATTTCAAGAACAGCATTAGCTTTGATTATTTCTTTTTTTGTCACTATCATGTTCGATTCTTCTAATAATTATAATAATTACCGATAGTCATGATAGTTCATTCTATTATGATAATTACTTGTGATAATTAATGACGTGACAATGACATAAAGAAATAATTAAAAGTGATGTTTAACCGAGCCAACTGTTTTGACACTATAGCTTACTTTATTTAATCATTCCTTTTTGAAAAGGGCACACAATGATTTACCTTTATTCTTCTATAATGTGATTGATATCAGGCCTTCCAAAAAGCATGGGATACTGCCTGCTCCACGCCACAAGCAGTTCTTCTAGTACCTCAAGGTCGCAGCTATCTAGTCAATGCCACAAAATTCCAGGGGCCATGTGCGGGAGGATTAACTGTTCAGGTAATATGCAAAACAATTCACTTCCAAATTTGACATTTAAATCAATTAGATGCATTTCACAATACAACTTTTATACAAACCATCCTCTTCCTATGGTAGTGATTATAGTAATTTGATTTTGTTAATGTGACAGATTGAAGGAACAATAGTGGCACCAGATGAACCTAGTAACTGGAATCCAAAGTTTTCACGGCTGTGGCTTGACTTCTCCAAACTGGAGGCAGTCCTTTTCCAAGGGCACGGAGTTATCGATGGGTCGGGTAGCAAATGGTGGGCGTCATCCTGCAAGAAGAACAAGACAAATGTAACTAAAATGCTTACTTACATTTCATTCTTTGTATTCAAAGTATCAACAAATGAATATTAACATTAGCTCTCTTTCCTTTTTTTACAGCCTTGCAGAGGGGCACCAAGTGTAAGGATCTTTAACCTATATCCTTAAACCTATTTCGTATATAGATTGAGTGATGAAATGAGTTGATAGTGAAGTGTTTTCTTGGGAGTTTTGTTGCAGGCATTTACTATAGATTCAAGCAGATCTGTAAAGGTGAAAGGCCTCACTATCCAGAACAGCCAACAGATGACTTTTGTGATTTCTCGATGTGATTCCGTTCGGGTTACTGGAGTAAAAGTCTCATCTCCGGGAGACAGTCCCAACACTGATGGGATCCATATCACTCAATCAACAAATGTGATTATCGAAGATAGCAAAATCGGAACAGGTTCATGAACCATATCCATATCCTTAGAATCAGATTTTAATTTTTTTTTTCTTTTTTCCATACTACATAACCTTAATCAGCATACTGACTCCTTGAGTTTCTTGGTGATTTTGCGTATTATTTTATCAGGGGATGATTGCGTCTCAATTGTCAATGCTAGCTTCAATATCAAGATGAAGAGAATTTATTGTGGACCAGGACATGGAATAAGGTATCATCTACTTTAAAAATGTTGCTGAATTCTGCATTTGGCAGGTTACCTTCCAAAAAAAAAAAAAAAAAAACGAAGAATGAAAGAAAGAGAAAGATTCCACGCACCCAAACACACTCAAATAAACAAATGGAATTGAAGTTTTTAACTTTCACTAATGTTTCGGTGCCAAATTGGATGACACAGCATTGGAAGTCTTGGGAAGGACAATTCAGTAGGCGTAGTTACTCGAGTGGTCTTGGACACAGCAGTTATTAGAGAAACTACTAATGGCCTCAGGATCAAGACTTGGCAGGTTCTACTACTATTACATGAACACATTTTTCTTATAGTAATGTGGTTAGTTTTCTTACAGACATGAAATCTTACTCACTTTTGTTCCTTTTCATTCTCGGGGGTGTTCTGTTTCAGGGAGGCTCGGGTTATGTTCAAGGTGTACGTTTCCAAAACGTGAAGATGGAAGATGTAGCCAACCCCATTATCATTGATCAGTTCTACTGTGATTCTCCAAAAAGTTGCGAAAACCAGGTATCCTCCAAGTTCCTTTCTACCATCTTTGAGATCTCTAGCATTTATCAAAAGTTCCAAATCCTAACCAAACTTTTAAAATGTAATGAGCTATCAAAGAACCACCAAGTCAAAAGTTTGAATTCTGAAACGGTTTTTTAATCTTCTTGATTTGCCAGACATCGGCAGTGAACATAACTCAGATTATATACAAGAATATAAGCGGAACTACAAAGAGCGAAAAGGCAATGAAATTCTCCTGCAGCGACGCTGTCCCATGCAGCAACATAGTCCTGACCAACATCAACTTAGAGAAGAAAGATGGGACAGTGGAGACCTATTGCAACTCTGCTCAAGGCTTTGGATATGGGACTGTTCATCCTTCAGCTGACTGCCTCAGCTCCCAAGACAAGAACTCCATACCAATTCGCCAAACAGTCGATGCTGAGCCTGAAAGACAGGATATAATCCACACCGAACTTTGATGCTTTTGCCGCCTTATAGGCATATACAAACATAAATAATTGATTCATATAGCATACCAAATAGGGTAAGTGAGCTGTAGAGTGCTCTCTAGTAAAGGTTTCTGAGGAGGTTTAAGGTGGCCAAGCAAAATTTTTATGGGAAATTACGGTTGTAGTTATGTACTGAAAATTGAGGTGGATTTAAGTTATAGAAAGTTGTAACCAAATGTGTAACAATATATATTGATTTTAATGAAATGCGTGAATACATTTTAAGTCATGAGAATGCCTTTTGTGGCTTGTTCATGGCGTTTCATGTCAAACTTGACAACAATTACTAATGAAGTAAAAGTTGGGCCAAGATGAGCTAGTTTTTGGTGATCTTGGCTATACCCACAAAAAGGGTCTAACTAAAGAGTCTGTTCCAAAGTTGACCCAATTTTGTTACAATCAGGGAAGGTCCATAACAAACTCTGTAAGTTCAGTCACAACTTCCCAAATGGCGAACCGAATCTTTTGCCTTCAAGCCAAGGTCCACTACTAAAATCATTGCACATTGGATTCTTAAATAGTGAATAAATTTTAAAATTTCACACCCTGCCCAATAAACTGAATTTTAAAAAATAAAAAGTAAAAAATCATATAGTACGATTTCTCTACTATTTGTCCCTTTTATTGTATTAGTAATATAATTACTTTTTGGTTATATGCTGATCATAACTACTTAGGATAAATGAACATGTTCACTAACATTTCTTATTGTAACAGTCAAACACTCATCAATTTCAATGCCTTCAAAGATAGAATTTAAAAGGAGAAAATATGGCAATGTAAATGTTTATGCAACTCTCTCTCTCTCTCTCTCTCTCTCCTCTTTTGTAGTGACAACTACCACTATGAAATTCCTGTCAAGTCAACAAAATCCTTAACCATCTGCTTATTCATAAATTTACATGCAGGTCTCACCACTTTTCAGAAGCAATACAGTACTGTGTGTATAAAGAACCACAGTGTGTATTTGTTAAAGAGTTCCTACTGAACTTTTGGAACCCCACAACGACACAACCCTTTACCAAAAAGAAAATAAAAGAAAAAGGTCTCTGTTGGACTGCTTTTCTTTGCAAGAAGTGACAAAATATATATGTGCATATGTCGCCAACAGTCTTGTTCACGCCAACACAACGTGGTGGTGTGGTCCATTGGAATTATTTTAGAAAGAGGATTTGATTTTGGTTGTCTTATGCTTGTTTGTGGCTCTCCATCTATATTGTGATGGAAAAAAGAAACTATTAGAAACTGTTTTTGTTTTTTTCTTTCTTTTTTTTTTTTTTTTACTTGCTGGTAATTTTGAAGATGTGATACAAACAAGAAATTGTCCCTTCTAATTGTACTCATATTTACCCATTACTTGGTTAGAAATGCCAATGCAATTTCCAATTATTTATAAGTGAATAAATAAATAAACTAGATACTTGTTGATTTTCTATTGAATGAGAAGGAAGAGAAAAAAGGATCCAATGGAAAGATGTTCCAAAATGTGCCCCTCCAAAATGGACATTACATTACTATCTACACTTGAGAGTTGAGATGAGAATGGATAAAGAGGAATGAGAAAGACAAAAAAAAATGAAAATTTCAAATGTGGATGGCAAAGGCCCAATACAGATAAGTATAACCATTTTTGTAGGTTTAGTGGTGTGTGTGTTTTTAATCAGATTTTTTTTTTTTTTTTTCAATTTATTCATTTGGCTGTCACTCCTAACTTATGTCCATCCCAAAAAATTTGTAGACACCAATGAATAAGAAACTCCCATTTCAGAGGACAGGGTGTCTTAGCTGGCTATTCTACATTAAAAAAACTTTATAATAAAAAAAAAACAAAACAGATTTTGGACATTGAATACAACAAATTTATACTACAATATATCTCATATGTTTTATAGCTTACATAGATAGTAGAGGCTAAAAAATATAGAAAAGATTGTAAAATATAAAAACATAGAAAGCAACACATGCCTTGAAGAACTGCACAGGCAAAAAGTCACGAGTGGCTGCCACCTAAGACAAGCTTACAAAACAACAATGTGTTGTGCATTATATGTCTTTACATGACAAAAACAAATTGGCCTGATTCAAGCTTTTAGAAAAAAAAAAATGTTTTATAGTTTATTATACACTGTTGAAATTGGTGTACAATTAGAAACAGCTTAGAAAAACGTCATGCTTTTGTCATTGGATCAAGAAATATAGCTTAGGAGAAGGACAAGTTTCTTATTACAAGTCAAATTGGGTAATTATGAATATTGTTGCAGCAAATAATTTAGAAGAAGGAAACAGTTCTTGCACATTAATTCATATTATTATTAGGCAAAGTTAGATCATGAAGAAGAAGAAGAAGCAAATAGAGAAAAAGTAGCCTGAGATCTTGACCTCAGAGAAACCAGAATGAGGCAGAACTTTAGAGTCTCGAAGTGATCCGTGATTTTTTGAGAAATGTAGGCCACGAATTAAGGGTCATGGAATGCAAACAAGCAAGGTGGGGACAAAAGCACTTTTGTCCTTCAAAATTTAAGAGTCATGTTTTGGATGCAAATATCTATTTTTAGGCTTCATTCACCCCTGAAATAGTATAGCTCGTTTTAACTGTTAGATTATTTTATCAGATTTGTAGAGTGAACAGTTTTATGTAGTGTGCTATAAAATTTTAATACGAATCTGCACAGATATGTCCGTTGAAAACTTTATTCAACAGTCAAAATAAAGTGTTCTACTTATGAGTTTTTTAAGAGGTCTCACTCCCTTTTAACTTTTTTTTTTTTCTTAAACGGCAATTGGTTTTTTTTTTTTTTTTTTTTCCCAATTGGAAATTCACGTGCACCATACCACCACAACATAACAATTAACATCATGAGCAGCTCTGAAGAAAAACAAGTAACAATCATATATACCCCACCCAATAGGGGGAAGCTTCAGATCAGATATGTGTTGTTCTTTGTGAATATAATTTTAATGCAAAATTACTACCTTTTTTTTAGCTCCAAATTCGAGAATGATCCGTGACCCCTATGCTTACAAGTTAATTTGAATTGGGTGGTTGCTCGTAGGGCCAATCCCAAATGGTAGCACATTTTCCACTGATGTGCAATTGGACGGTCATGATCATGTGGAAGCTCTTTTTGTGGGGCCATTTTTCCTTCTTTTTCTTGATCGTTTTCCCACTGCAAACCTCTTATATATATAAAAGTTGATCTTAATCGTTTTTTTAGTGATGAAATTGATGATGATAAGTAAAGGGTACCTTTTCTTTAACTTGAGAAGACTGACTCTCTTTTTAACTTTCACTTTCTGTTAAAAGCCACGTTGAGGTGAAAAAGAAAAAAAAAGAAAAAGAGACCTTAGCAATATTTATAACCTAATTATTTTTATAAAAAAAAAAAAAGAACTGAACAGCTTGTGATAAACATAAACGACTTTTAAAAATCTACACTATTTTTTAACTAATATTTGGTATTTATTGCAGAATGTTTTGGAGTAGTAGTTAAAAAAAAAAAAAAAAGAATGATTTTGAGTAGTTGGCTCACTTGTAAATATTTTTGGTTTAAGAGTTTGTTTGTTTATGATGATGATGATGATGATGATGAAGATCACTTGGAATGAAAAGGATTAACAAGATTCGATAAGCAACTGCCAACTACCTCATTATTTTAGGACATTGTTGCAAAGTGCGGCCTTTTCATCTGAAAATGGCATAAAGAGATTTACTTTATAAAAAGATAAGAACTTTGAAACGGTTAATTTTCATTTTTTTTAAAAATTAATCGTGAATCATATCACGCACTCTCTCTTTTTTCTTTTTTTTTTTTGTAATTTAGTCTCAAGATTTATTGTGTGCTTGACAGCAAACTAAACATATTAGTACTTTTAGATCAGAAAAGATATTTTAAAAAAGGATAATGGTGTAGTTTAATCGTGGGAACTAGTGCTTGCGAATTGGAATCTTCACAAAAATCAATCTCAGATGGCATAATAATCAAATGCAAAATCAGAATACTTTACCACGTTTCTTTTCTTCTCAACCTGACTTTACCGTGTTTATTAACTTAAATGAGAAACGAGTGTACATTAATTTCTAACTACATACCGGAAAATCAAGAAGAAAATGCGAAATCGAATGAAACAAGACGGAGAGATGAATCGAGTGAAACAAAGCAAAAATCCAGACGAAATCGGGATTGAAACTTGAAGACTGAGAGAAAAACGAAGAGGAGAGAGAGAGAGACGATTTTTTAGAGAGAGAAAACAGAGAGATCAATTCTTTACGGGGAGAAAACATAAAAATCAAGATAACGAACCCTAAAAATCTGGGGACAAAAATGTCATTTCAAAAAAGTTTAAAAATCAATTTTTTTTTTCTTAAAACTAAAGCCTCGTTCATTTCACCAATTCAAGTTTTCAGTTTTAAGTTTTTACAGTAAAAAGCACTCAGAAAATGTCACATCTAACTTTTTTTGCTACAGTGAAAAGCTCTCAGAAAATATCACATCTCAACTCGAATTTACGAAGTGAACGAGGCCTAAATGAAAGGGGTAGACTTATTAGAAGGGTAGAAAGAAATTATCATCCAGGTGATCTGGAGGTAAACTACACAATTTTCTCTTTCTTTATTGGTTTTTTTTTTTTTTTTTTTTTTTTTTTTTTTTTTTTTTTTTTTATTAATGTTGAAAGGGCATGCATCCATGATACATATGCTACATCACTATTTACATTAAGTCGATGATACATACATTTTATATATGCGTGGGATACATTTTAATGCTACATTTTATGTCAATTGTAGTTTCAGATGCTACTGATATTCCACGTAGTATTATTATTATTATTATTATTATTTTTAGATTAATTATACATGCTTTCTTAGGTGCATGAAAAGTTCTATGCCTCAATTGTGACTGAGGCATTTTCTTGGATTAATGGAGAGGAAGCAATATTGCTAATCATATGGATATATATACATATTGGAATGGAGTTCACGAGAGGAAACAAAGTTCACGAGCTTTTTAAGCACAAAAAGAAGGCCGGCTAAGAAGCTCCATCCATCGTACTTAAGAAAACACCCACTTCCTTCCCTTTTCTTTTAAAAAATTTGCTAAATATTATATTATATATATATATATATATTTTTTAATTCGTGGTTGTCACAAACCATAAAACGCCACACAAATTCAGGCAAAGTGGGACTACCCTCCGTAAATATTTTTGTATTTAAACCAACATTATATATCACCAAAACATAAGATATCATTTCTGACTACATATGTCGCCAAGTACAGGTGTAAATAATGCGTATATATATATATATATATTCAAGTTGGTGCACAACAGAAATATATATATATATATATATATATATATATACACTAATACACGTATTATTAAACTAATTTGCAGCCAGGGTTTGGCAGACAATTATGTGTACAAATCTTGTATCATAATACAATTTATAAAGTTCAAGTTAACTATATAATATCTACTTATAATATAATACTTGAGCAGAGAGAGAGAGAGAGAGAGAGAGAGAGAGAGAGAGAGAGAGAGAGAGAGAGAGAGAGAGAGAGAGAGAGAGAGAGCATGAAAACTTGGTGCTCACTTCCGAGAGGAAATTAGTAGTATGTACTTGGGAAGTAGGAAGAGAAAGGTGAAATGTGAGAAGGGAAAGGGACATAAAGATAGATGAGGACAAAGACTTGTGGACAATGTCTTTGGTGGATAATGAAAATGAGGTGTTTGTTCTGCTTTCCAAAGACGGCATAAAATAAGGTTATCATTCACGGCCACATAAAAAAAAAAAAAAAAAAAAAGTTAGGGATCATGTCATTCACGGCCTTATGATCATGATCATGTGTCTCAGAAAGCTCTGAGCTAGCTAGCGATCAACAAATTATTACCTTTCAACAAAAAAGTAACAGAAAAAAATCTTGACGTCAATTTATTATGTATCTAAAATAACATTCCTTGCATTACTTTCCATCATTTTCTCGGAATTCTGGAGGGTATTTTTGTCATTTCTCTTTCCCCAAATACTCTTTTTTTTTTTTTTTTTGCTATAACGAAGCATGTTCTTCAAGTACTCGAATAGAATATCAAAGTGAGTCATTATTAATTGAGTGCCGTGATATTTATGGAATTGTAATACGAAGCTCCTCTGTCTGTAAATGTTGTCCAGTCATTATGAGGAGCAAAAAAAAAATATATATATATATTTTTAGAGAAAATTTCTCAATTCTCAAAGCAGATTCTGTTATTATAGTTCACTGCTACCGTACATTCCAGACTAGTACAACAATTTAGTTATTTAAATAGATTTAAGCAGAAGAAAGCCTTTTTTTTTTAATCTCTCTAAACCGTTAATACTTCACGCAGAGATTAATTAATAAAACATGTGACCTGAAGAAAAAACCTTTTTTTTTTTTCCTTCTAATTTTGGGTTTTCTCAAAACGTTTGTGATCCTACATTATTATTGTTTTAAGCTGTACAAATTAAGTACAGTACTAGTTGTGCTACTTTGTCATTATATCAGAATTATGCATGTGTAGTAAAAACCAAGAGCGAAAGAGAAACTATGGGCGATGGTGGTTTCTTTTTAAAATCAACTTCATGAAAAGGCATACTATAGTTATTCTCATTGAATATTTGTAACCAAAAACTAAAACAATAATATTTGTAACCAATTCTTAGATAGAGTAAAAATAAAAAAAATAAAAAATAAAATAAAAAAAGTTCCTATCGATAGAATAAATTTCTGAATAGTCAAATTTTCGTCGGGTTCACTCACACTTCTTTTAATCTCGGTATGATTCTGTTACGATTGGCGGTTTAAATTAATTGTGTTTTACTAGTAGATTTATTTCGCGCCTTGTTATAGAATTCTCTACTGTCACAGCTATCATTTGAACGTAGGTCATTGGGAAACTGGGAATTTTTTATTTATTTTTATTTATGAGGTCTAAAAGGGAAAGAGAGAAGCAACGTTTAGCATATTTTAGCAGGAGAGAACAGAAGAGAAAGGCTGAAGAATTTGTAGCCATGAGAGAGCGAGAAGGAAGGGTGTGTGTGGGTAGTCAAGAAGACAAAGGGCCAGAAAAGAGTAGAGTCCGTGAACGTTGCATGTGACCATAAAGTGTTGTTATAATCAGTGCCCCGAATTGACACCTTATAGACCCACTCACGTGTCCCTTTTTGGCTTTCACATCCTGGCTACTTATTAATTAATATTTGCTTCAACACGCACACACACAAAAGAGTTAAAAATTTGTGGCGCCACCCAAATAGCCACATATATTACAGAAGAAGATTGTAATGCGGTAAATTAGAACATTACTATCGGACACTGGTGATGTTGAGTATCATTTATTAATTGATAGTTGATCTTACAGTACGGGATAGCCCGTTTAGTTCATGGATTATAACTATTTTCAATTTACGTGCATTTTTTGTGAGAGAAAATACTGTAGTGAATTATGAATCATGATTCGAATCAGAGAACGAATCCTCCAACCAAACGAGCTCTTAAAGGTGCAGTCTATATTTTATTAACTGTGGTTTTCAACACCGGTGGTGTCTTCAATTATTTTCAATAAAGTAGCTACCTTAATAGCAAGTACTTTACGGAGAATTTTGACCAGAAAACGATGATAATGTTTCTTTGAACAAAAATGTCTTCTATTACTAGTGTGATATGTTATCACCTCAATCAAAGGATCCTCGTATCTTATGGCCGTGATCCATCGCCAATATTATAAAATATTAGTGTTCTAACTATTTTGAATGCCATTTATTTTCGCCTTTCAATATAATCTTATTAAAGAATATTGAGCAGTGATTTGACTAAAAGTGGTACAACAATAAGCATTATCAAAACTGAAATGTAATACAGAGAGAAATAACATCTATAATAAGAAACAGTTAAAAAAAAATCAATATACCTAGACCAGCTATAAGTATACCGGCAATATTGTGTTACAAAGAGTACGGAAAACAGCTTTTATTTTCATTTCTTTTGGTTTTGTCAAGCTACAACGACCCTATAAGAGAAAAAGGGAAAAATATTATTTCACAACAGATAAGAAACTCATTTTTGGTTTGGCATTAATCTCCTACCTACTAAGACAATTTTTTTTTTTTTTTAAAAGGAACCTACTAAGATCAATTAAGCTTGGCATATATGATAACTGATCAATGACAATATTATACGTATTTACCTTAGAAAATGCGAACGAATCAAATGCAACATTTTTATTGACACGTGGCAAACAGAAAATGGGTCCTTGACGATGATGATGATGAGGGCAATTGACAAATTCTCACCAAAATTCACAAAAAAGAAAACCACATAATAAATAACTGAAGAATTAAAAAGAATATGACATATATATATTTATTTATATAAAAGAGTAAAAGCAAAAAAAAAAAAAAAAAAAAAAAAAAATCCCATGTAGCATTATATTTATAACTGTATCTATTTCCATATGTCTGCACAGTCTTAACAAAAGCTTTGGAGTTCTCTCCCTATTTAAGCCCAACCCTTTAACTTGCTTTGCCTATCCAAACCATAAAACATAAACCACCTCTCTATCTCTCTCTCTTTCTCTCTATCTATATTCCACATTGCATTAAAAATGAGTGGTTTTGGTTTTAGAAGCCTAACAACACTAACGCTTCTCATTGCTTTTCTTGTATGGTCGTCGAATTTCGAAGCTTGCATTGCCAGAAGAGGAAGACATTGGAGGCAACACAGCAGAGGAACCTCTTCCTCTTCCTTGTACAAGAAGAGAAGCAAAAGCCACAACAGTCACCACCACAAAGGCAGCGGATCAAAACCGAAATATTCTCCGCCTCATAACAAGGCGGCTCCGCCGGTGTCCCCGCCGCCACCTCCGACAGTGTCAGCCGGCAACAATGCCCCGCCGCCGCCCCCGAAGAATAAGGGATACAACAATGGCGTGCATTCTGTGTCCTTCGACGTGCTAGATTTTGGTGCCAAGGGTGATGGCAGTACGGACGACACAAAGGTTTGTTTGTAGAGTTCTCTGTTTTTTTTTTTTAGATTCTTAAAAAACAAAATGTTGGTTTTAGATAATTTTATTTTTTATTTTTTATTTTTTGTAATTTTTTTAGTTCATGATCTTCATGGAATTGAAGAGGATTCCTAAGCGTTAAAAGGTTTTAACATAATTGACAAGTCATGCAACTTGTAAAGATCAGTATGAAAAGTGCGTTTTGTTTTGGTTAAGTAAAACTCTGCCCCATGGCCTTGAAGGAAAACAAAAAAAGTCGTTTTGGTTTATTGCTCTACCAACTGAGAAATTAGCTCCCACGTGTAACGTGTTTTTCTTTTTTGCTACAGCCTACATGTAACACGGTTGGCTGAGAAAACACATAACAATTTTTGAGGATTTTGAAATGTACTTACCCCATTATTTTTAAAATATATATATATAGATACGCAAAGCACTTTTGTAAAATTCATATACTTTGCTCATTGAAAGTTTTCATTTTGGTATCATTATGGTAAATTTTGTAACTTATAAGAGCACAGAGTTGGGAATTTAGTAGGAAAAAAGCTCCTACACAAAGGTACATTAGACTTAGAAGTTGAAACACGAATGAGAATCAATGTAAATGGAATATTATAAAAAGCACGTTAAATTTAAAGAAATAATAATAATATTTTTTTTTCTAGACTGAAAAATACTGTGTTTGATGTCTACGTGTAAAGTTAAAAGATGTCATAATCATATGGTACCAAAAAATTTAATAACCAGCAAAGAGAGTGGAGACAACAGAACTACCCAAAATAGTGGGGCCCACACCGAAAATGATTCTCGTTATGGCAGTTGGGTCGAGATTCCAACAATAATTGTATCCAGTTCTGTGCAAATCTAAACCCCAATAATAGCATCTCTAGTATTATTAGAGCGTGAACACAAAATTGCGTCTTTTATAGTACTTTGAAAACGAATTTTATGTTTATATATTACTTAATGAAAAGTACCATTTGCTATGGTGTTACGCAGGCGTTCGAAGTTGCGTGGGCAGCCGCTTGTAAGGTCGAGGCATCAACGATCATCGTTCCTCCTCAATACCAATTCCTCGTTGGGCCCATCTCATTTTCTGGCCCATATTGTGAAGCCAACCTTGTTTTTCAGGTAAATTATTAGAGAAAATTAACTCAAAAAATGAAAATTAAACAGCTACCAATTTATAAAAAAAAATTTTAAAAAAAATTTTAATTATTAAAAAATCGAATCTCTTTATATATCACTATCATCATTTGAATTGACAAAAAAATATTGCCAGATGATTGCCACGAAAGACAAGGATATATTGATCTCATTTCCTAAACAGGGACTTTTTTCATTTGATTTAAATGAAAATAATTCCAATATTAAAAGATAACCCTTTGTTTGTTTGATATGTTTGAATGAAAAAAAAAAAAAAAAAAAACAATCACTTCAAATTTTTTTTACTACAGTATTTAAAAAAAAAAAAAAACGGGACTTTTTTCATTTGATTTAAATGAAAATAATTCCAATATTAAAAGATAACCCTTTGTTTGTTTGATATGTTTGAATGAAAAAAAAAAAAAAAAAAACAATCACTTCAAATTTTTTTTACTACAGTATTTAAAAAAAAAAAAAAAAGCCAAACAAATTTAAATTTTTGTTCAAATTTTATATTGAGAACTGTGAGCCAAACTGACCATAAATTCTTCATTTTTTCTTGCATAGAAATGCCAACCTTAAGTATTTCTAACTTCATATAGAGTAGTAATTTGTGATTTGTTGTGCCTATTTTTTTTTTTTCAGCTGGATGGGACAATCATAGCTCCAACAGACGCCAAAGCGTGGGGCAAAGGTCTATTGCAATGGCTGGAATTCTCAAAGCTAAGAGGAATTACAATTCAAGGAAGTGGAATCATAGACGGAAGAGGCTCAGTGTGGTGGCAAGAATACTCTCCCTATGATGACCCTGCAGATGATGACTTAAAGCTCATCATCCCAATAAACAGCACCTTTCCTGAGCACCCACCAGAGCCGGTAATTACTTTATTATTATTATTATTTAACTTGACTTTGTAAAATTTTCCTGAATTCCAATTTACCATTGATGATTACAAGCCAAAACTGATGTTGATTTGCCTGAAAATTCTGTGGTAGATGAAGAGCAAGCAGAGTGGGAAAATGCCAAGCATCAAACCAACTGTAAGGACCACTTTGGGATAATACTAGTACATACATCCAAGGTAGCTTAATGGATGATGCACATTAGTAACATGTTAGTTGTATTTTCTGTTGCACAGGCCCTGAGGTTTTATGGGAGTTTTAACGTGACGGTCACGGGCATAACAATCCGGAACAGTCCCCAGTGCCACCTCAAGTTTGACAATTGTGTGGGGGTGTTGGTCCATGACATGAGCGTCTCATCTCCCGGTGACAGCGCGAACACGGATGGAATTCACCTGCAGAACTCCAAAGATGTGCTAATCCACAGCTCCACTTTCGCCTGTGGTAATTTCACTAATTTGAGTTTTCAGTTCCAATTTTGCTACAATTAAAAGCTCTCATAAAAAGTCGCATCTAATTTTTTTCTGCTACAGTGAAAAGCTCTCACATAAAATCACATATCAGCTTGAATTGAAAATTCGAATCCGCGAACTAAACTAGACATTAGTTTCTCCTATATTAGTCCTTGTCCATACTCCATATTCGCATATTGCCGTTAAGTCTCGGACAAATAGGGACAGATCCTAAGAGTCAGAAAGTCACTGACCTGAAATGGCACTCACAATAGCAACTTGTGAGCAAGTCAATGGCATTATCGTAGTTACAGACACAAAAGAGAACATACGTGAATTGCGTAGCTCTGGGAAGGGATCAAGGAAATGAGAGGAACAAACTTATCCCACTTGCAGCCTTATTCCAAACCGTGAACATTCTAAGCCTTATGACTACCAATTCCTGTGGACCTGGTTTTCGAGCCCCACAGAGAAGAGCACCTGTGTTTTTTTTGTCTTAATTTCTCCTGTCTTTATCAGGAACTAGAAACTTTTGCATCCTATCCCTATCCTGTTGTCACTTCTGCACTTTTATTCGAAATATAGGATAATATAAAGCAAACAGATACATGTGTCAGCCATACATCTTTTTTCCTTTCTTTTTTTTTCTTTTTTTCTTTTCCTTTTTTCCCCCTGGAAGCGAAAGCTAACTTAAGTGATTTATTAAGATAAGTATTAAGTAGTATCAGATAGATAATAAACACGAAGCATATCTAGATGTCAAGTACGGCACTACCATGGAGTTTAAATCAAATAGTGACAAAGAGCATGAAATAAAATGCCATTTGTTATTCCAATTCAATTGACATGGACGATGAACGAAAACTAGGTTCATATGTTGAGTGCAGAAAAAATAAAATTATTGAACTCTACGGACTTGTGCAGGAGACGATTGTATTTCAATACAAACTGGATGCTCAAATGTATACATACACAACGTGAACTGTGGACCGGGTCATGGAATCAGCATTGGAAGTCTAGGGAGGTATAACACCAAAGCGTGTGTCTCTAACATCACCGTCCGAGATGTCAACATGCACAACACAATGACTGGTGTCAGAATCAAGACATGGCAGGTACTCATATAGTTAAAAATTTCTTCTGATTGAAAACTAACCAACCTTAGAGCACCAAAGTCCCAAGTATTTCATCCTTCATGGTCTAGTAGAGTGGCTACGAAAACAATACATTATGTTTGATTGTTTTTAATCTTCTACACTTCATATTCATGGACTATGGAACAATCTACCAAAACATGAATATTTGAAACTTTAAACCTTGAAGACCATTAAATAGTTCATGCACTTCCACTTTATTATTAATGCTAAAGACATCAAAGCCCTTCAAAATAATGTTATCTGCTCAATCCCAAGTTCTTTGAAACCTAAAATTTCTTATGAAGCTTAACAAACCACCTCTATCAGTTTGTATGTAACACGAAGTCTTATAATTGCAGGGTGGATTAGGCTCTGTCCAGGGAGTTCTGTTCTCAAACATTCAAGTATCTGAAGTCCAACTTCCAATTGTCATAGACCAGTTTTATTGTGACAAAAGCACGTGCAAGAACCAAACATCAGCTGTGGCTGTATCAGGAATCACCTACGAGAGAATAAGAGGGACCTACACAGTAAAACCCGTACACTTTGCCTGCAGTGATAACCTACCCTGCACAGATGTGACACTAAACGGCATACAGCTGAAACCTCTACAAGAACACTATCACATGTACGACCCCTACTGCTGGCAGACTTTTGGAGAGCTGAGGTCTCCTACTGTCCCACCAATCGCTTGTTTCCAGATTGGCAAGCCATCTAGCAACCATCTTCAATCCGACCACGATTCATGTTGAGAATCCATACTTGGTCATTTGGTGTTGGTACGTAATATTAGTGAGGTTGGCAAGTTTTCCCGACCCCTTCCGCACCATTTGCAGGATAGATAGAAGATTGTAAATTGGAAGTACTAGCTTGTAGGGAATTCCTCTTTATCAGGTTTTACATTGCCATTGTGAGAGAGCATATAGAATTTGGTTTTCAGATTGAGACCTATAGTTGTCAATATAAGCCATCTTTATTGTTATGGCAAATTAATTGCCTAAGTGATATATATTATACGAGTGCTTGCATCTAAGTTATGCAATAAAGGTTCCATATCTACACTTACTGAAGATTATGGACACTGAAAGTAAGGAAAAAAAAAATCAGGAATTGCATGTTTCAACAATGTACATTACATGAATAATATTTTGTATCATAAGCTTTGATGACTCATATACAGCTTGAAAAGATAAATGACAAAACACCCTGAAGAAATAAGTGTTTTTATTTCTTACTTTCACAAAGATTACAACCAGGTATTTATAACAAAAGAATAAAACACATTACATTCACTGATCCATTAATCATAGAACGGTGGTATTACATTCACCGATCCATTAATCATGGAAGGAGGCTACAGATGTAGGTGGTGCAATTTTTTCTTCTAACTGTGTGGACTTTTTCAACACAGCCCAATCTCAAAACCATTCAAGTCACATAGAGAGAAGAAAAGTTACAAAGAAACTGACCTCGTTTTAAGAAGCTTATGAAGAGGCTGCAAACACAAAATTATTGTCTTATTTTACCAATATGGGGTAAACAATCCTTAATCAAACCAAAAATAGTAACAGTGATAACAACAATAATAGCTTGACTATTGATTGAGGGTTATTAACAATTCCCATAATTCTATAAGAAATAATGTGAGATGGCACTTTTTCGTCACCTCTTTCTAAAAATGTGAGAATTTTTTTCTTTTTTTTAGAAAATGGCCAGTAGCCATTAAAATAGTTGATGCGATGATCAATTAGACTCCGTCAATCAGTGATTAAACACCAAATCAATAAATAATAGACTAATAAATTATTATAATTGATCACTAAGTTAACAAATGATTGACCACCAAGTGATCAATCACTAATTGATCATTTCGAGAAAACAGTCACTTTCCTAAATTTATGAAAACTTCGGACATTATCAAAGACATTAATTAAAAACATACTTTAAATAGGGAATTTTCCCAGATATCCCTGACTTCATTTGGAAGAAACAAAAAAAAATAAAATAAAATAAAATAGAACAATAGTATTCATCACTGGAAAACGAAACTAAAAATGGCCCTAATTCTCAGATTTTGAGTAGAAACGCAATACAGAAACGAATTTCAAAAGGACAATATGAATATGTGGAGATTAATTAATACCTTTCGTCGCACGATTCAACAGATGAATGTAATAGCACCAGAAACAGAATACCCAATCACATTGTCGAACATTCGAACTTATACGAAGGGAAGATTTAAAACGCACCGTTTTACATTGCACGAAAACGACGCCGTTGGAAATCGTTTTAACTATTCTCTTGAGACGACGACGTTCTTGCCATAATAAACTATTCAATTTCGCGTCTTATCCAGATATCTTATCCAATCGCGACAGCCTATACAAGTCCATTTTTTTCTTTTCTTTTTCAATAAAACGAAGTGGACGTTTAATTCTTATAATTCAAAATATTTATGTGTATTTTTTAGAAAAAAAAATATTATAATAAATCACAAATTATAATTTAAATTACACGAATCATCATATCACACATCCTCATTTCTTCATATCTTCCAATAGATACGATTCAAATCCATCACTAGCTCGCTTGTTCACTACATAATCAATTCAGCAAATATCTCTGTAATTCTCGAGCTTTTCTCAATATCCATCAATGGCGAAAGTTGCGGAGACCAAGAGCCTGGACACCATGAGGAGGAGAGTGGCCTCCGTCGCCAACCATCTGGCTCCGGTTAATTCGTCTCCGAATTTCGGCTCCGTCGAGCTATCGACTACGTCAGCGTCGTCGATGAACGACAGCTATCGTCGGATTCATGGCGAAGTTCCGAGTCACCCTGTTGTTTGGAGGACTGCTGGCGACGGCGATTCCGGAAAGGACTTCGTCGACATCGTCTACGAGAAATCCGTCGGCGAAGGAATCGCAAAGGTCTGGTTTTGAATTTCGAGAAAGTGTGGGAAGCTTTTTTGTGAACTTTATATGTTATTTTCGTTTTTGGTAGATCACGATCAATAGGCCCGAGAGAAGGAATGCGTTTAGGCCACAGACGGTTAAGGAGATGATTCGCGCTTTCGACGATGCGAGGGACGATAGTTCCATTGGAGTTATCATTCTTACAGGAAAAGTATTTAATTTCTCGTAATTACTGACTTTTAGAATTATTTTTACTATATTTAATTTCCCATGATTACTTTTACAATTTGTGTTGATGGATTAAGATCTCGTTTATTTGAATTCATAATTCAAGTTTTATTATAATAAAAAATTATTAAAAATAATTATATTTAATTTTTTTATTATAATATTTTTAAATAAAATAACATTTTAATTTAAATTAAAAATTTAAATTAACGAATTAAACGGCTCCTAATTAATGATACGCTTTCTTCTTATTTATTTATTTTGGCTGGAAAATAGGGAACAAAGGCTTTCTGCAGTGGTGGTGATCAGGCTTTGAGAAAGGCTGATGGTTATGTGGATAATGACAATTTTGGTCGTCTTAATGTTTTGGATCTTCAGGTATTACATTACATGTATTTGATATTTAAGATTTTATATCAGTTTGAATTTATAATAATAATAATTGTAGTAGTAATAATAAATATAAATCTTTATTCTGGATGTTCTTGAAATTGAACCTTTCAATTTTTATTTATTTAATTTAAATTTTTTTTTTTTGCTTTTGCTTATTTAAACATTGCACTAAACTCATTTTTTATTACAAGACCTTCTATTAGCTGTAGACAAAATCAAATGCTGAGTTAAAAAAAGTACAAATTTGACATAAATTTGAAATTAAAATACACTTTTTAGTATATCCAAAATACAAGGTTGTTTCCCATAAAAAAAGTACAAGGTTATAAATTAGAAAACAACCCTACATTTATTCAAAAATAGGTTTTCATGTTACTTTTTGTCAGAGCATAAGGCCCCATTCTTTTCGCTGATTCGAATTTTGCTACAGTAAAAAGCTCTCAGAAACAGTCACATCTAACTTTTTTGCTACATCTAACTTTTTTGCTACATTAAAAAGTTCTCACACAACATCACATTTCAACTTGAATTAAAAACTCGAATTAGCGAACCGAACGGGTCCGATTTACCACTTGATTGTGCCTTGCTAGGTTATTGTTAATCAAGTTTTTTGCTGTCATTTTATAATGCAGGTGCAGATCCGGCGTCTTCCGAAACCGGTGATAGCAATGGTAAGCTGTTCTCTTAATCTTTCACTCTTCTTCAAATTCTCGTCTTAATTTTGTGAAGTTAAGACATGTTTACCTTAAAACACTTTCTGGAATTCTAGACATAAAGCCTGTGATATTCTTGAAGGTTGCTGGTTATGCTGTTGGAGGAGGGCATGTACTCCACATGGTCTGTGATCTAACCATTGCTGCAGACAATGCTATTTTTGGTCAAACTGGTCCCAAGGTGATTGCTTATCTTGTATGTAACTTCATTACTGAGCTAGCAGCTAAAAACAACGTCAGCAAGAAACGTTAACTGAAATAAAATATTACCGCTTAATAGAGAAATAACATCTATTACAAATAAAATCATCGAACAGAATTTTTAAGATTACAAATTTCATTTCTTAAGATCTCCTAACTTGTTATGAGATCTTAAACCATTTTTGCTCAGTCAACTAAAATTTCTATTTTAGCACTTACCTGCATCACGAGACCTATATGAGTGCAAACTCAGTAAGTAAACCATAAATAATTTCTACTTTCAAATACTTTTCTTTAACATTTAGGGCCCTATTGTATAATATTAATCTTGTGTTATTAGAACCTCTTTCATATGACCCTTATCATGGAATCTCTTATTCCTCCAGGATTTGGGCCTTCATCGTATTTCAATCAGTTCATAATAGACATAAGATTCAAATCATACTCAGAAATATTTTTCAAATCTCATGAAAACATATCAACAATAACATATATAAATTAAAAATATATTATTGTTCAAGTGAGACAGTGGAAAGTCTACTTATAATTTAAGTGGAAGAATCCTTTTCTCTCTTAGAACCTTTTGTCAAACATCAACGTATCTCTCTTATATATATATAACCTTGATGAGGTCTTATGATTGCCAACAAAGTAGATGACTAACCAGACTAGTTTAAGTACATGTCCATGTGCCATTTTTTTTTTCTTTTTAATAGAACTTGCTGCAAGATAATAGGTGGACACATATACTAAGCTTTACTGTAAGTGCATGCCCCGTAACAATGCATGTGGCGTAGCAATAACACTCACACTTCAAACATTAGCCAAGACATATGCTAAGTAGCTTACTAATCAAGCCTATAAAGTATGACTTGTCAAGCTTGTATTCTCCTAATGACTCTTTCTTCATGTATCATAGACCTACGTGGTAGTTATCAATTCTAATCCAAATTCATATGCCACCTCAAACTTTAATAAAAATATTTATAATAAAAATCCTAATATTCTATTTTACTACCACCTTTCTTAATTAAGCAAACACTATAAATATTCTGGATATTACATTGTAACATCTTGAGATTAATATAGCTTTGTTCATACTCTATAATGGGATTAATATTCATGACATATAAAGAAGTTGTTCTCTTGGTTTCTGATTTTGATTTTTCTATTCTAATGTAAAAAGATGTTGCAGTAGCAAGCAATGAATAATGATACCTCACCAAGTTGTGAATTTTGCAGGTCGGAAGCTTTGATGCTGGTTATGGAAGTTCCATTATGTCCCGCTTGGTAACTACTTGATATCACTACTTCCTCTTAGTGTGAAAATTTGGAAGAAAATAATTCAATTTGCCAAAATAATTGCACTATGGAATTTGGCTAAACAGGTTGGACCCAAAAAGGCGCGTGAAATGTGGTTTATGGCAAGGTTTTATACAGCTGCTGAAGCCGAAAAGATGGGACTTGTCAATACTGTTGTCTCGGTAGGCCAATACCAAGAAGAAGGGAAAAAAAAAAAAAAAAACTGAATTTTGTCTCTTAATTTCATGGTTTTTTTTTTTTTTTTGGTAGGAATTTAGCTTTCGGATAGTTTAATCTAATTGTACACAAAATTCAACCCCAAATGACTATTAATATATCTAATCTAATGTATTATCTACTTGTCTCCAGCTAGAGAATTTAGAGCAAGAAACAATCAAGTGGTGCAGAGAGATCTTAAGAAACAGCCCAACAGCACTTCGGGTGCTGAAATCAGCTCTCAATGCAGTTGATGACGGTCATGCTGGACTTCAGGTGCCTAATCCATCAACGTTTTGATGCCCTTCATAGTTTGTTAACCTGTTGTAAATCATGGCATATGAAAAGATTGGTTTTATGATTTTTCTCACTTTCATTTACATGTGTTTAAACTTATTCCTGTACGCATGATACATGCAGCAACTTGCAGGAGATGCGACGCTCATATTTTATGGGACTGAGGAAGGTAACGAGGGGAAGACAGCCTATGTCGAACGTAGACGTCCCGATTTCTCCAAATTTCCTCGACGACCTTAGTCTTATTTAGACATCCTCAATATTACTTTTCTGATTTCTCATGTGCTCTTTACCAAATATCATATAAAATTGCTCATTTGGTTTCGTGGTGGAGTTAAAGATTTGAAATAAAATGAAATGAGTCTTGTATTGTAACTCTTATATAAAACCTCTGATTCGTTCGTTGTATCCATGCGAAATAAAATGAGCCCTTTTTAGGATTTTTGGAACAATCACCCCCCTAAACTTATCGTGGTTTAACAAATTGTCCTTTAAATTTTTAATTTTAGCAAATTACTTTTCAAATTTATAAATTTGTTACAATCCCCCTCAACTGTGAAGAAAATAGGCGCAATAAAAAGGTTTAAATTAAAATAGAAAACTAAAAGGCGCAATAAAAAGTGGTGGTTCGATTAGGAACTGCCCATTTGGTCATGTTTGGATCTGAGTAGCACCAGCCTGTTATCCTTCCACTGCCGAGAGCGGGAGGTTTGCGCTGCTCTGTGAAACCAGCCTCACGCGGTGCCCTCCACTCTAGTGACCGCGAAACTTGGGCCTTCGCCCAGGTCGCACGGCCCAACTCTCGGCTTGGAACGGGCATGCCAGAATATAGCCACAACAGACCCGGCCCACTGGGCTGAGCCAATGTCCCACCACCTTTAAGCCCCCACTTGGGTGACAAGCCCTCGTTACTGAGCCCGGCGATCCAACACTTCATTCCTGGCAATATAAACAACTGATTTCTCTTCTCATCTAGCGATGTGGGACATTTCTACACACCTCTTGTACTTATTATATAGGAAGGTTGATTTTTTAAGTGCTTCCAGATGCATATTTCGTATGCCAGTGTAAATCTTTCTTGCTCATTTTGAAAACTATTGATCTGGAATTTTTACAGAAAACTCACTGAAATTATACGAAATCAAATCTGCTTGATTATATTTTTCATTGAATTAGGCATGGTGACCACCTTTTAGACATTATTAAGCGAGTCAGATCTTTAATTGATAAAAGTTGCTGCAAAATTCTGTGCTTATTAAGAAAGTGAGCTCAATTTTTTATTCCAAGCTTTTGCTTGAGTTAGATATAACGCATTATGCATATTTCAAGAAAATGGGTGAGAAATTTCTTCAAAATTTTTTATTGTTGCTACCTACTTATGATTTATTATAGTGAATTGAGAGCTTGACAAAAGGAGGAAATATCTTAAACAATAAGGGCTTTTATCATTGGCTTTTACATAAAAATAAAGAGCAACTCCCCTCAAAAAAAAAAAAAAGAGCAGAAAATTGAACTACTTTGGGGGCAAAAAAGACATTTTCAAAATTAAGTAAAACTAGTTTTATTTTTAAAATTCATATAAATGGGTAAAGTTTTTTTAAAAAGGGTATTTCTAATTAATCTGATGACTTAAGGGGGTAGAATATGTAATTCTCTTTTATAGGATTACCTCGTGCATAATACGCAACTTCGTTAATTATGGAATATTTAGGGAACAACTTTTCTTGGTGGATCGACATATTACCATGGACATACAAACTCTTCCATTTTTTACCTTGCTCCTTTAAAAAATTATTGTGCGAGCTAAAATACCCCTAAAATCAAACTAGGGTTTTTTTTTTCTTCTCTTTCTTTCGATCTCTTGCAGTCGCTCCTTGCTCCTTTTAAAATTAATGGGCCATAAGCGATCTACGGCCCAAACTAATGAAACTACACCCAGCATCAGCCAAACTCACTCATTATTCCCGTTCGCTGTTCTTAAGCAGACTTTATAATTTTCTGGTAACTTTGCGATTTTGAAAATTGAATCTCTGCTTCTGAATTACGCTCGCAAATTTCTGTTCGTCAAAAACTTGATAATCATGAAAACTCAAAGCTCCAACGCCCTATGAACGATGACTGGGAACGAGTTCCGATTCTTCTTGTCGTGCGACATCAATCTTCCCCTCACTTTCCGAATCGATCGTTTGGAGGGCACTTTGCCTCCCGCTAAATCTCCTAATTCAGGTACCTTTTCATTTTGAATCCCCAAAATTTTCCCGAGAAACAATCAAATTGAGAAACTCTTCAATTAATTCAAGCCAGAAAATGTTACACAAACTTAGCTATTGGTTTAAAGCAGCGATACTTGTATAAAATTTGGCCATCAAACAATCTCTCGATTGCCCTGACTTTGAAACATTCTAATGGCGTTTTTTTTCTCTCGCAGAAGTTGATTCAACGACAGAGGAGAGAATAGCAGAGCTATATGTGGAGTGCGCACTGTACATTGATGGTGCTCCTTTTGGCCTTCCTACACGAACAAGGTTCCTTTGATTCTTATCCACTTTTTGCTTATTAACATCAGTTTCTGTGTGTTCTATTGCGTCTAATTTTTTATTGGCTTATTTTATTTTATTTTATTTGGTAAGGTTGGAATCTGAAGGACCAACATATTGTTGGAATGAATTAATCACATTAAGCACGAAGTATCGAGACTTAACTGGTCACTCGCAACTTGCTTTTACAGTAAGCTAGCAGTTTCACATTTTATATTCTTCTGTTATTGGTGCTTTATGAGTTGCTTGCTTAGTCGTCATATCCATTGTTGGGTCGTAGTTTAACATTTATGTTCTACACTTCTACTGTTTGTTTGTCACCTCATTTCGTATTACCCTTTTTAGATCGTAATATTATTGGGGTGTGTGTATGTTTTTTTTATTTTTATTTTTTGTTTTTTTTGCCGGAAAGTGTAGGTTTGGGACGTTTCACGCGGGAAGGATGAGAGATTGATTGGTGGGGCAACGATTCTTTTGTTTAATAGCAAAAGGCAACTCAAAACTGGGAAACAAAAGCTTAGGCTTTGGCAGGGAAAAGTTGCGGATGGATCATTTACAACGGCTACTCCGGGAAAGGTTTCGTTGCTATGGCGATCTGTAGATTTGAATCAAGTCTGTGACATTATGGATAGATTATGAATAATACAGTTTATCTACAGGTCCCTAAACATGAACGTGGTGAATTGGAGCGCTTGGAGAAGCTTCTGAATAAGTATGAGAGGGGACAGATCCAACATGTTGACTGGCTTGATCGCCTTGCATTTAAAAGTATTGAGAAAATCAAGGAACGTGAAAGCTCCAAAAATGGAAATTCTCATTTATACCTGGTTGTTGAGTTTGGTGGGTTTGAACATAGAGTCGTTTTTCAGGTAATGCTGGTCTGCGGTTACTAAAGATGAATAGATGATTGCTAGTTCATGGTTGTGTTTGTGTGTATCTTTGGAACTATATGCACATTAAGAAAAAAAAAAGGAAAAATTGTTTGGATCATAGCAATTATAGATATTCAGATAAATACATTGTAGTCTTGATCCTTTTTTACTTTGTTCTCATTCGTGTGACTATCTTTTTACTTTACTTTGTGCATTCGAAATGTTTGTGAATGCTGAAGTGACGTTGTTTTGTTAAAGGAAATGAAACAATCATAACTATTATTTGTCTGGTAGGAATCAGGAGCAAATTTCTTATTACCATCTCCTATCGCTTCATCAAATGAAATTGTCACTGTTTGGGACCCAGAAGTGGGAAAGATAAATCCCTCCGAGCACAAGCAACTAAAGCTTGCCAGGAGTTTAACTCGTGGCATTATTGACAGGGATCTTAAACCAAGCTCCAATGAAAGAAAGTAAGCTTGAAAGTATTCCACGAAGTAAATCTGTTTAGCTCTATTATGTCTTCTAATGCTATATGATTTTGCCTACTCTTGTGTTAGGGCCATACAAAGAATTCTTAAATACCCACCGACAAGGACTTTAAGTGGAGATGAAAGACAGCTTTTATGGAAATTCCGTTTCTCATTGATGTCTGAGAAGAGGGCTCTTACAAAGTTTCTTCGATGCGTTGAATGGAGTGATGTTCAGGTCACCAGTATTTCTTAGAAAATTGCAACTTTTACCACCTGCTATTTGCAATTTAACTGTCATCACTTGCTATTTTACGTTAGGGACTACGAGGTAGCTGAGTTTTTATTGCTACATCAATGTGTTTTCAGGAAGCAAAACAGGCACTAGAACTCATCGGCAGGGGGGAAATGATTGATGTCTGCGATGCATTGGAGCTATTATCTCCTGTTTTTGAAAGTGAAGAGGTTGGTTTGTTCAAGATAAGAATGTCCTTTCCTGTATTTTGATTCTTGTGTTGGAAGAATAATTGCGATACTCAAATAAAAAATTACTGTAGATGATTGGATAATATGTCCTTGTGCTAATACTTGTGGTCCTTTCTCCTGATACGAATTGTGCATTGGACATGGTTTTGGCCCCCTTATTTACCCTCCATATGTCTTATCTTAGATTTGAGAATGCCTAAGTTAAATCCTTGTGCCAGGTTCGTGCATATGCTGTCAGTGTTCTAGAAAGAGCCGATGATGAAGAGCTTCAATGCTACTTACTTCAACTTGTTCAGGCTCTTCGGTTTGAGCGCTCTGATAAATCTCGCCTTTCTCATTTTCTTGTGCAGCGATGTATGTGCTCTATATTGGCTATTTGACCGTGTGTGTGCATATTCTATTTCCATAGAATCAATGCATGACAATATTAGCAGCTCAATGCTTAATTAATATCTTGACTGTGTCTTTGACTTCTGGCAGCATTGCAGAATATCAAGTTTGCAAGTTTTCTTCGCTGGTATGTTGCTGTGGAACTCTATGATCCAGCATATGCAAAACGTTTCTACTGTACCTATGAGATTCTGGAAGAGAACATGATAAAGGTGTGAGTTCTATGTTGACATGTTATGTTATCTTTATTACGAGATACACTAGTACACGACTTGGTGGCGCTATCTCCATTAATCATGAAGTCCTAGCGTAGCTTTCTTGCGCTCAAAAACTTGTTGTCTTTGAAAAATTAGAGCATCCCTAGTAGCTTCATTGCAAAATAGTTCTTAGCAACTATTTCGTGTTACAAATATGGAGCATCTATTACAGTTGATATGCAGAGCTTGATAAAAACAAAAATGGATTCAAGGTGAAAATAATATTTGATTGAACGGTTGTTTCTGAAGTTCCTAACAGTAACATTTTTGTTACAGTTGTCAGCTAGTGTGAATGGAGACGAAGATGGATTTAAATTATGGCAAAGTTTGGTTCGTCAGACTGAATTGACTGCCCAATTGTGTTCAATTACGAGAGATGTAAGAAATGTACGCGGTAATACTCAGAAGAAGATTGAAAAGCTTAGACAGCTACTTTCTGGTCTTCTCAGTGAGCTTACTTATTTTGAAGAGGTATGTTATTTAATTTCAACGTCATCGTCTAATGAACATTTTATCCGTGTAGCTACTGAGGCTTATATATGATGTTCCTGTTTTATCTTATCCATCCCATGCAACTGCTCTGAATTGTATAATTTGGTATATCTTTGTATCTTAATTTCAGCCAATACGGTCACCATTGGATCCTGGTGTTCTAATCACTGGGATTGTGCCATCAGAGTCATCAATTTTCAAAAGTGCATTGCATCCTTTGCGCCTCACGTTTCGAACCGCAAATGGTGGAAGCTGCAAAGTAATCTTTAAAAAGGGGGATGATATTCGGCAAGACCAATTAGTAACTACTACTATTTCTTACTCTCTCATTCACACACTCAGTCACACGCACGCACACACGTGCAAACACACAAAAGCCCTGTTTCTTTTGTTTTTAATTATTATTTTCTTTTTTCTAGGACACATGCATTGACCTTGGTATTCTGTTGGTCGGTTCCTGTAGGTTGTTCAAATGGTATCTCTGATGGATCGATTGCTTAAATTAGAAAATCTTGACCTGCACTTAACTCCGTATAAGGTGCTAGCAACAGGACAAGATGAAGGAATGTTAGAATTTATTCCATCCCGTTCTTTGGCGCAGGTATTTATATATGTGTGCTCTATCTTCCAGGAAGTTTCCCCCTTGTGAAAATAGTACAATAATCTGCTAGTATAACATTTATTATCTCTAAGTCAGATATAAAGCACAAAGAGTTGTACTTATTTGGTTGTCCCACGACAATATAAATCAAATCTTCCAGCACCTTTCGAGAAACCAACTACTTATAGAATTAGTAGCTCTTGTAGCTTATAGTTAACTAGAAGTTAATAGTAACTTAAACTCTGACTGAGGCCCATTTTTTTGGGTAATGCCACTTTATGACAAGATTGTTCAAGGACATACATATACATGTGCCATCAATTTTTAGTTGGACAACAGTCTTGCAATTTTTCCGCAGATTGCTTAGATTTTGTTCCTTTAATATTCAGATTCTCTCAGAGCATCGGAGCATCATAAGCTATCTTCAGAAGTTTCATCCAGATGAGCATGGACCATTTGGTATTACAGCAACCTGTCTTGAAACATTTATAAAGAGCTGCGCTGGCTACTCTGTTATCACGTATATACTGGGCATTGGTGACAGGTAATCGTTAAATATAGGAGTGTGTATTCCATCAACATAAATATGCATGCAAGAAAACTGGAACTCCAAGTTCGCATAAACTTTCTGTGTAGTGTGTACGATTAACTGGGTTCTAATAGTATCTTCATACGAGTAATTTTCTTGCATGTTAATTGTGCTGGGCTGGATGCCAGTGAAGTGCATATGTGAGACTTTTGATCTTTTTGGTCTATAGGCACCTTGACAACCTTCTCCTTCGGGACGATGGGCGTCTTTTCCATGTTGATTTTGGCTTCATTCTTGGTCGTGATCCCAAGCCATTTCCTCCACCTATGAAGCTGTGCAAAGAAATGGTTGAGGCTATGGGTGGAGCTGAAAGGTATTTCTTACGAATAAGTTGTGTTTTTGTAATCGTCTAATGCCAACTTCTTCATATTGGATTTTGAGAGGGTGAGGAAAAAAAATAAAAAATAGAAACGTGATACGAGACATCGACTGGCTGATTTATCTTTTTCTCCTGCAGTCAATATTATACAAGGTTCAAATCCTATTGTTGTGAAGCATACAACATTCTCCGTAAATCTAGCAATCTTATCTTGAACTTGTTTCATCTAATGGCGGGTTCCAACATTCCTGACATAGCTTCTGACCCTGAAAAAGGCATTTTGAAGGTGTGACGCCTTATATTTATACTTTGATTTCTCATTGATTTTTTTTTCCCGGAGTCCTGACTCCTGACTGGGAATGTATTGATGTCATGTAGCTCCAAGAGAAGTTCCGGTTGGACTTGGACGATGAAGCCTCTATTCATTTCTTCCAGGATCTAATCAACGAAAGTGTTAGTGCCTTGTTTCCTCAAATGGTTGAGACCATTCATCGGTGGGCCCAATACTGGCGCTAAATCCCATGTAAGTTGTCTTTTTCATGATATATAGTAGGGTAATATCTCTAGTTGTAAAGTGTTGAGCAATAGAAAAATTGGTCCATGAATGACTCAAATCGTATTCACATGGACATACACTGTACGTAAACTAACCTCAATGAATGGTTTACCTTCTTCTTATCACCGCCACAAGTCTTTGCAAAGTTTATCTCTGGTTATGGTGTGTGGAGATAATTTGAGCTCGAACGGTAGATGGTACTGGTAACCTTCTACAGAATTTCAAAGTGATTTCTTTTACATCCTTCTATTAGGTTTGGGTGTCTGGAAAGACAGAAGAGCCAGTGAAGTTGCGCTCACTGTGTGTATGTATGTATTTTTGTATATAATTACATGTTGACTTTATTTAATGTCTTTAAGGAACCATAATCTCATGATTTCTGTGTAGACTAATTTCCGTGTTTGTTGAATAAATTTTTGCATGGGAAAGTTCCTAAAATCGAAGGTTTTGCTTCTTTTGTAAATACTGAGAATGTATTAAACTTCTTTTGAAATCCCGACCACCAACCGTTGTGCTTGATGTTTGAAGTCCAATTTGACCGGCATATCTTGGCTACTAAGAATCCTGGACAGCCAATATTTTAAATCATCATTGATTCTCTGGACTCCAAAACTTCTTTTATTAAGTCTTCATCTTCTGTGTTCTTTATTGTATCCAATAGTTTATCATATTCCTTTAAAAAAACAATAATAATCATATGGGTCGGCAGGATCTTCGAATGACATGATTGTGTTACTCCAAACTCGGTAGATCTTTTCTATCAAAAAAAAAAAAAAAAAAGCTAGATCTTAACCGACGTGATTAAAATATCTTGTGAATTTGCTGGAACCAGGCACATTTTGGTTGTTCGATTCAAAAGACTGCTTGTAATTTTACGTATAATAAGAAATATTCAATAGTATTTTCTAGCCAAAAAAAATAAAAAATTTCAATGGTAAAATACTGTACTTGTAGATCTATTTCTAGATGGTTCTCTTCTATGGGACTGCATTCATTCATTCATTCATTCATCAGGTGCAGGATCTACCTTAAAACCACAAATAACTATTATGTACTTTGGTTAAAATAAAATAAAAGAAGAAATCAGAATTGACCGCGGTTAATTTGCAATAGCGTTGCGTCTAAATTAATGTCACGGCGACCTTTTTCATTTCATTTTTTGTGATTTAGAGTGTGTTTGGTTCATAGGTTTAAATTATGTGATTAGAATCATTTTTTATTTACGTGTATTTTTTATGAGAGAATACGGTAGCGAATTACGAATTATAATTTGAATTAGGAAACGAATCTAGGTACCAAACAGACGGTTAATTTTTGCACCTTTCGAAAACTGGGACTGAATTTTTGTTGGAAATTGACATTGAATTTTTTTTTGCTAATCAAAATTGACATTGAATTTGAATCACCAACGACTATCTTTTACTTTTTTTATTTTCATTTCTTTTTCTTTTGTCGGATTCGGAGTAATTGCAACTCGTAGGGTCGTTGCATTAAATCCTACGGAACGGAACAAACAAGACTGTCATTCCTCGGTTGGAGAGATTGCACATTTTCATCATTTTTTTTTTTACTTTTTATTTTGAACTTAAATGTGATAAAAAAAAGTGATCAAAATCCGGACTAAACAAAAAGAAAATACAAAATTAATAGAATAAATGCTGATCTAATAGTTAATGATTAAGGTTTTTTATGTTCTAGAACTAGAATATAATTTTTGACAAAAAAAAAAGGATCTTTTTTTTTCTTTGCTAGTAAAAAATGAATCCATTTATCATGGCTTTTTTCTGAAGAAAAGTGAATTCTCGCATCTTGAACCGCTTTTTTCATTTAAAAGAAAATTGAACCGCGAAGAATTAATTAAAAACACAAATAATAAATAAATAAGCCACGCAGTGGTGGATGTTGTTTGGTGGCGACCTCACAATGACGTGGCCGCATGTGATTGGAGGGAAGTCGCAAATATAGCTTGAAGTTTAAGCTGACCGAGGGGTCTTTCGGTAATTTGAAGTTCGAAGAAAATCCGATCTGGTCTCCCCGGCATCTGATGTATATTAGCCCTCTTGTTGACGATTCTCTCCTCCATATTTCCGCGTTGGTTTGAAGCTTCATTCACCTCTCTCTCTCTCTCTCTCTCTGCAATTTTCATCGCGAGATCCCTCTGCGGAAGCTCTTCTAAGGTGAGTTTCGAGCCTCAGATCTCCATCTATTTTGTATTGCGCTATTAGCGTTGTAATTTCTTTTTCTTGTATCGATTTGCATTCGTATTTCACGGTGATGAAACCGTTTGCATTTTCATCAAATTTTTGAATTTCTCTTCTCATCTCGAGGATTTATGAGAACATTTTGGTCTGAATCGAGGTGTTTTTGTGATATATGTATGAACTCTGTCGGGGATTGTAAGGTCTAGGGGTTGTTGGACTGGGATCTCTAGGATTATGCTTTCCGAAATGGACGTCTAATGAAAATTGAATTGTTACTGTGTATTTGAGGTCCAATTTGTGGCTATGAGATGCTCTCTCATGCTCTTTGTAAGATTGTGTCGTTAAATTGCATGTTCGATCGTATCTCTCAGATCTGTCGATGAATCAAGATGAATTTCTCTTAGGAGGCAATTTCACGGCTTTTTATTAGGTTCGGTGAATTCCATTAGGCGGATTTTGTTTTTAGGAGTGTTTCATTTTGTTGATACGAGTGATTGGTCTTTGGATATTTAGGGATCGGCAGCCTAGAAAATGGGGCTGACATTCACGAAGCTTTTCAGCCGGCTTTTTGCCAAGAAAGAGATGCGAATCCTAATGGTTGGTCTTGATGCTGCTGGTAAGACCACCATTCTCTACAAGCTCAAGCTTGGTGAGATCGTCACAACAATTCCTACCATTGGTGAGTTCTTTCTTCCTTCTGAGTTGATGAGAATGCTCATTTGTTATGTTTTCTGTTTATGATAACTGCTTCTTAACTTTTATTTGGAGAGTTAATTGGAACGTTGAAATCACGAATTAGTAAATTTTGAAATTTCACGCAACTATATTTAAAAGCCAACTCATATTATTTGTGCGATGATTATTGGGTGCTGAGACATAATTATTCCTAAATTGAAGTCTGAAGATATGTTTCTGGAATCACAATCCCAAAGTATATTTGTTTTGGTTCTTGCAAATGAATCTAAAGCATTTTAATTACAATTTGGCTACTGAATATAAAATTCTTAAATGTTCTTGAAGCTTTATATATATCAATGTATGATTATTGTGATTATTATGATTAAGTACACATCATTTTGTTCATAGGTTTCAATGTGGAGACTGTGGAATATAAGAACATCAGCTTCACCGTTTGGGATGTCGGGGGTCAGGACAAGGTATGAAATTTTGAAGCTTGTCTCCACACCATCTATAAGCCACAATATTATGTACCTATTTTTACACTAGAATTTGAGCACTTTGTGAACTTGATAATTAAAAATTTACTGTTGCTCTTAAATAAAGCCGAGTTACTTACTGACGTTCATATCCATGGCTCTTTTATCTCCTTTTCAGATCCGTCCCTTGTGGAGGCACTATTTCCAAAACACACAGGGTCTCATTTTTGTTGTGGACAGCAATGATAGAGACCGTATTGTTGAGGCAAGGGATGAGCTGCATAGGATGTTGAATGAGGTATGTAGCTATTCAGTTCATTAAGTCTTTTGATGTGTGCATATATGGTATATAAAATATAACAGTTTCTATTTTCTACGCAATTGGTAGAGGTGGAGAGAAGCTATAGGAATTGTGATTTGTGGGAATTTGAAGAAAAAGCTTTCTTTTTTTTTTTTGTGTGTGTAATTAGTCAAGCAAGGTGGGAAAAAATAGAGATAATGATTCAGCAAAAAAATATGCATGATTTAATACGGAAAGAATTCTGTTTTTTAAATTATTTTGTCACAAGCTGATTCATTTAACTTGTAGTTTGTATACCTTTTGAAATATATTCCCTATCTATAGCATCTTGCTCTATTCACACAGCATTAATTTGCTTTGCGACACATGTTGGTTATGCAAATTACTAGCTGGTTTTGGACTCCTAACCATTGCCGTCCTAAATTCATTATTTTGGTTAATATTAACTGCCCTATGTTCCAACTAAATTTATTATTTTGGTTAGTCCTGTGCCAACTTTCTAATATTATTTCTGACTTGCTTGGTTGGGACTCATGAAAAGTAACTATGTAGCTTGAATGGTGAAATAACTTTTAACTTTATAATTTGCTGACTTTCTAGGATGAGCTGCGTGATGCTGTTCTGCTTGTTTTTGCTAACAAACAAGATCTTCCCAATGCAATGAATGCTGCTGAGATTACTGATAAGCTTGGCCTCCACTCTCTCCGACAGCGCCACTGGTAAGCTCCTTATCTTTGTGGCCTAATGCATCCTGTACTATTATTTTTATTGTCTCTTATGTTTGTCCTTACGTGGTTGTCTAATATATCTAATTGATTTTACAGGTACATCCAGAGCACATGTGCTACTTCAGGAGAGGGGTTGTATGAGGGTCTGGATTGGCTCTCCAACAACATTGCTAACAAGGTAAGTATTTATAAATTATTATTGATGATTTTTTCTCCCCATTCATTTTGCATATTGTGTTTTCTGGTTTGAGATTACGAAAATCTCTCAAATTACCAAATGATAAGATTTTTAGTCACGATGAGTAGCATATAGATAATTGGATTCTCAAGATTTTTACTTATCGGCATGTATTATAAGTGTGTGGGTGTATATTACATTTAATTGGATTTATTCATTAGTCTAGAAAATTATATTATTTTGCGCATTTTGACAGTTGAATTTTTCTGTAATTGCAGGCATGATACTTTTGCGGAGCCGTTTTGTGGACAGGAAATTCTGGATGCAGGGGTGAATATTATCTAGTTTCTTTTTCTTTTTTCTTCTTTCTTTTTTCTTTTTTCTTTTTTTTCCCTTGAAACAATTGAATTGTTGTGTCTGTGGTCGTTTGGGGACAATGATCTAGGATTTTTTTAATGGTTATATTGTAATAGAAGAATGGTCGGTTGGATATGTGCATTGAGCTTTTGTTTGGGTTTTGTTTTAAATACAATGCTGATTGTAATCAAAAACTAATTCGATGCATCATTCCTTTCTGAATTTTACCCGGTATGTGTTGCGATTTCATGTCGACTTAAAATTGTATGTTTACGTTCCCCTCAAAGAAAAAAAAAAAAAAAAAAAAAAAAAAAAGGTTAACGTAGATATTCAATTCTGAAGTAGATGCGATATCACAGTTTAGTTAATATTGTATCCATTGAGATTTAGGTCTTGTATTGGTAAATGCCTACAACAATTTAATTTTCACTTTGAAACGGGAATAGTTTAACGGTAATTCCATATTTGACTATCTTTATCTGGTCATGATAATGTGGTTTATAAGTTTTTTCCTCTCCTTGTGCTTATCAAGTTGACAAGTTTCCTTGTTTAACAAAAGTAAACACTTGTGCGCTGAGCTTTTGAAACTGTACAAAGGGACCCAAATAACTGCGCCAGAAACCCCAACATCCATGGTATCAGCGTCTATCAACTCAAGCAAGCTTAACCGGCCAGGCCACCATGTCCGAAGGATTGTAATGTAAAATAATCTACAGAAGGTTCATTTGCGAATTGCGTTTGGGCCACAAGGAGAGACCGTTCTCTTCTCTATATCCACCTCTAGGGAAAAGTCATTTCCCAAATACATGTTGGCAAATAAATACAACTTCAATTAAAGTTCTGGAGGAGAAAATACCCAAAAGCTTTGCCTACTTTTTGTTAGGACGAGTGGCCGTGCCTTGCTCTTGGTTTTGCTACACACATTTTTTCTTGAGAAGTTTCTGTTGTCATTGTATATTGCCAATCCATGCCAAACCACACTTGAAATCGGCTAGGCATATTCACATATTCGAATGGCAAAGAGTATGTGAATCCTCGATGCTCATTTTCTCAAGGGAGTTTTTTTTTATTAACTGTTGAATCTGATCAAAATCACATCATATTAAAAAAAATATGCAAAACGGATAGTCTCTGATACAAATCTAACGGTTAAAAAAAAAAAAAAAAAAAAAAAAAAAAAAAAAACTACTAGTAGTTCATTTTTATTAGTCCTGTTAGAGAAGTTCTCTTTTTTCAATTCCATTGCCATGACATTCCAAATTTAGTTTGGGACCTTACAAAACTACCGTGTCTCCTCTTCTGGTTCATATTGGAGCTAGGAAAACGTCAATAAAATATCTTCACCTAAAAACATACTTGTTCCATTCATTTATTTTTTTGTAAACATTATTTTCCATGGGCACACCATTGGGAACATTGTAAGGCTATTAATTTCTTCACAATCGTCTAGTAGAGTGATTACAACCTCTCAAATGCCTGTTCCCACGCTACTTTTTTCGCTATAATCCAAATACTAACCATCTCAATCTCACATGCACATAAAAGTCCACATACTAGTGCATTTCAACTGATATTTAGGTTTTGGTTAAAAGCGATTGGAATTTCAAGATTAATAGAAACTAAATGTGTGAGAAAATTAGTTATAACTAATAGACCTTTGACAATGTTTGGCACGAAGGGGGGAAGAACAACAAGTGGGAGAGAAAATAAGAAGGAATATTTTTTTATTCTTCTACGTTGTTTGATATTTATTAACGAACGAGAATAATTTATTGCTATCATTTTCTTTTTATCAAAGTTTCTCCTCACTTTGCTTTCCAATTTTGACGGGAATAAAAAATGTGAGTCCCACAGGAGATTTTATCTCTCCTATTTCCTTTTTCTTCTAAAATTATTCCAACCAAATACATAAACTCAATTTCCATTCTAAAACCCCCCTCACTCTCTCTCTCTCTCTCTCTCTCTCTCTCTCTCTCTCTCTCTCTCTCTCTCTCTCTCTCTCTCTCTCTCTCTCTCTTCACTTTTCATCCCTACCAATTACCAAACATAAAAAGTTGCTCCCAATCCCAAGTGAGAAACTTGTGGCTTCCTATGTTTGGAAGTTCCAAGAACCTATAAACAAACATCAATGGAAGTGTTTAATTTCCACACACTTTGTAGCATTGTCCAAACGCGCCCCATAAAAACTGTCAATCAAAATTCAGCCAACTGAAGCCAAAATAACGTTTACACGTGCAAAGTTCGGTTAGCACAAAAAGGGAAAACGTTATTCACACGCAAGGGGAAAATATTTAGGCAGAAGGACTGATCCCTGCATTCTGTTTTGTCACTTGTCCGTATTAATGCCACATGTATAGTCTTGTACATACTCGCAAAGAATATCCAATTCTAAAATGTACAAATATAAAAGTGGAAAAACATGCCTAGTTCACTTGGAAATCTGATTGGCCACAAAAGGAATTTTGGTCCAGAAAGTGTTGGTTCTGTCAGCTTAGTGGCCATGTCGTTTTGGTAATAATAGATTCTCAAGTAAAAATTTATATATACCAATAATCTATAAAGAACAAAAATCTCAGCAGATTTATGCTGAACTAAAGCACAACAAGATAGCTCCATATATGCTAAAGTATGTGCTTTTCTTTTTCTTTTTTTTTTTGGGTTCCTTATCTTTATTGTCTCCTGACCCAAATCTTCTAACGCCTATAAAATGAACCTTAATAAACAAATAACTTTTCCCCTTTTTCTTGTCTACCCTTTTTACATTACTATTTCTTTTCCCTATTATACATTTTCTTTTTTTTTCATTCTTATACTTTTTGTTCTATTATATATTTTTAAAATTTTTCTAAATGAGACCTTAATAAATTTATTTTTTATTTTAACTAGTTTGAAGAAAAAAAAAGAGAGAGAAAAGTGATGTAGTCGCAAATTGCTACAATAATATTTTTATGTATTTGAAAAGCTTGTGTGAAGTGATAATGTAATCTATTCTTCCATATATAAAGAACGGATAATGTAAAATTTTTTTTTCTCTCTCTCGTTTAATTTTGTAGAAACAGATTCAAGTCCTCTCTTGCCATGTAAATGAGACCTTAATAAATCTGTTTTTTTTTTTTCCCCCTTGCCATGTGTTAAGAGATTTTAGATATACGTATGATATTCTAGGCCATGTATATCCTTCAAGTTCAACCGAGGAAACATTTTCCCCCCCTTTTTTTTCTTTTGAGAAAAATTTTCCCCTTTTGAGGTGTGCAAAATTAAGAAAACGTAAAATATTATACAAACTTTTATTAATTTTGGCTCTAACTTGTGATGGCCCCCGCCATAGAACAATAATAACGACTTCTAAAACACTAGTATTTTCACTATTGCTTATAATTTAAATTTTTTTTTCAGGTGGTTATTTAAGTCAAATTAATCTGTAATAGAACTTATCTCAGCTGCTTTAATATTTGAACCAACCAAAGTTAGTCAAGCAAAAAAAATGAATTACCTTATCTAAAACCAACCAAGCAAATTAACAAATACTTCTAGGAGAGTTTTCAAAGTTGTGTATGTTTTATAGAAATTAATTAATTTTTGTTCACGTGTCCAAAAAGTTTGTGCACTAGTCATGACGCAAATATATGATATTTTATCCCTTTTTTCGTGCGACATAATCCCCGCTGCTATATTCACGTTCGATTTGACCATCACCAATTTTGCTTGCTTAATCTTGAATCATAGATGATATTAATCTTTATGCCAATGCAAGCTAAGATAATATTCCTTTTATAAAAGGAGACTTAAATAATGAGAACGATCCTTTTCTTCTTTTTTTTTTTTATACATCTTTGTTTAATAAAAGTTTTACTTTTTTTTTAAAAATAAAAATGGGTATTTCATCTAGCTAAAACAAATATTACAATTTGAGGTTTTATAAAAATTATCGAGATGGATAAGATAAATAATTCATCACAACAAAAAAAACAGTCAAACCATTATTTCTACTACGAAGAATAAGGAGGATTTCTTGATGTACTCTTTCCAGTCGACATGAACTTAGCTCCGCAAATAAGAACAAATTCGATCGAGCTGCATAAGAAATTAATCTTTGGCTCTTTTAAAATACCCTCCATATCTAGTTCCATATGCATAAGAAAATCATGTGCGCACTTTCTTGTATTCTTTTGCCTGTTTTAATTTTTGACCATCCCAATTTTTTTTTTTTTTTTTTTTTTTAACGAAGAAGTTAAGCTGAAAAAGTAATTAACCCACTCACTTTTTTGTTCTTTTGCCTGTTTTAATTTTTGACCATCCCAATTTTTTTTTTTTTTTTTTTTTTTTTTAACGAAGAAGTCAAGCTGAAAAAGTGATTAACCCACTAGCTATATATTGGAGGGATGGTGTAAAGCCAGCATATTACTTATAGTTTGAGGTACTAAAGTTCAGAAGCCCAAAAAGGGAAAAGAAAAAGGACAACAATCAAAATCACAAAGCTTACTCATAGAGAAAAAAAAAAAAAAAAGTAATAAATCACAAAGGTAATATGTAGTAAATATTCTCCCCGTTCGTGATTCGTAAGAGTGCTTTCAATCAATTACAACTTTGCTTGAGAACACCGTCAAAGTAATTCCACAACATGCCACAATTAGCGGCATGCAAACTTGCGAAGCATACGTACTAGAATTCACGTACATGTACTACATAAATAGAACACAATAACCAAGTCGGAGAATGTAAAACTAAACGACATTTATGAGAGTACGTAGAAACTGATCCATTTACTATTATTCACACGTTTGATCATTAACGTTTATGTATCCAAAGAAACATTCTTATCGCGACATATATCACGGCCAAGAAAAATAATGGCATTCTTGTACCTTATTAGCAAATCATTTTGTTTATAATTCTTGTACTTTAAACAGAAAAGCAAAAACAATGACACCAAAGCTTTCCTCGTGTAATTATTTGCATTCAAGAGTATACCTTTCTTTCTAGAGTTCTGGGGGGAGAAGATTTAATTATTATATATATATCGTTTTTTTGCTGGAAAATGTTTAATTATTGTTGAGTTGTATCTTTCTCTCCCTAGTGGATTTGAGCAATGGAGGTAGAACGCTGAACAAAAACCATCTCCAACTAATTAAGAATAATAACACTTCCTTAAAATTTTAGCATCCAACCTCTAATACTTTTCTCACTTATAAATCAAGGCCCCACTTGGACCGACTTCGACTATTTATAAATATTCTCAAAGGAAAAGATAAATGACTTCCACTTGGTTCCTTTACGTTTCTTAAATTCCTGGTAAGAAATTATACAAAATATATAGCTGCATCAATATATATATATATATATATATATATATTAATGACTATGACTTCACTCATCTTAATCTCAGCCATCCATCTTGATGATAAGGCTGTGTAGACGAATGGTGGGTTGAACAAGAAACGCTGTTCATTCGTTTTCTTGTTCTAATTTATTTCCTTAATACGTCCGTGGACTTGAACCAAAATAAAATTAAGAATATTTTTTAACAGGAAGTGCAATACTATGTTAAAGTGTTGGATGACAATCAAAATCTATCAATTTTCTGAAAAAAAAAAAAAGAAAATTTAAAAAAGTTTGATAATGATCTAACAATTCAAATCTGTGTTAAGAGTTTTTTTTTTTTTTTTTTTTTTTTTTTTTGTACTACACGGAATTTCTCCAAATAAAATACGAAAAAATAATAATAAAAGGTGACTAATTTGCATCTGGGTTTCATTTTGGGTTCATTTCTCCTGAATTTAATTCCTCATTTGAGGTCTATTTAAGGCTTTATGAGAAGCCAAGGACTCATGAGGAGCAAAAAGGTTAGCAGAGTGGCTTCCTCAGCGTTGCTAATCCTACTTTCCTTACACTCCTCAAAACCAAATCCTTCTTGGCCTCTATTATAAAAAAACTTTTCAAATATCACCAAATTAAAGAGATCATATATATAGACCTTTCTTTAAAGCACACAAAAAAAAATTAGCACACACACATATATATACAAGAAAATGGCCCCAGAAGTGCCTGTAGATGTGTTTACAGGCAATAAGGTATCTCCTCAGCTCAATAATGGTGGCTACTCCAAAAGGGCCTACGTAACGTTTTTAGCCGGTGACGGCGATTACGTTAAAGGGGTGGTGGGATTGGCCAAGGGTCTGAGGAAAGTGAAGAGTGCTTACCCTCTTGTGGTTGCAATGTTGCCTGATGTGCCTGAGCAACACCGTCAGATTTTAAGGTCTCAAGGTTGCATCGTCCGTGAGATTGTGCCGATTTATCCTCCTGAGAACCAGATTCAGTTTGCGATGGCTTACTATGTCATCAACTACTCTAAGCTCCGCATTTGGAATGTAAGTAAAATTGAAAAAAAAAAAAAAAGTTTTCTTCCCTGTAACTAGAGCTAATTAACAAATAGGGTTTAGCCTTGTGAAATATAATTTGACATGTGAATTTATGATTGGTTAAAATTATATATGTGTACATATATATATATATATGAATAGTGGTGATATGTAATATTGCTTGGATTAATATTTAACTTTTGTCTTACGATTATATGTGCATGGTTTTATGTATGTGTTGCCGGGCAGTTTGAGGAGTATAGCAAGATGATATATTTGGATGCGGACATCCAAGTGTACGACAACATAGATCATCTGTTTGACACCCCTGATGGGCTCTTCTACGCGGTGATGGACTGCTTCTGTGAGAAAACATGGAACCACTCTCCTCAGTACAAAATTGGGTATTGCCAACAATGCCCCGATAAGGTGACGTGGCCCGCCGAGATGGGTTCTCCTCCTCCCTTGTACTTCAACGCCGGCATGTTTGTTTTCGAGCCTAACCCGTTGACCTACCAGAACCTTCTTCAAACCCTCGAAATCACTCCACCAACGCCCTTTGCTGAGCAAGTAAGAGCCCATTTGACATTATTTTTGCTCATGCTAACCTTAATTTTTATTGAAAAAATAGAGAATTCACCTTTGAGAGTGTATGAATTTAGACTTTTACCTTTTACTCTTAATAAATACTCTTTTATTAGTATAATTATTTGATTAAAAAGGTTATGAATCAAGAGTAATGGGTAAAAATCTTGACTCATATATTTTTAAGAGATATTTATCAAGATTATTATCCTAATTTATTTAAAAAGCAACATAAACACAAGTATACCCTTTAAGCATGCGTAAAGGATATCCATTTGTTTATTGTTAGAATAAAGTGAATAAATTTACTGTGATAATGACTGATCGAATATGTTGTATAGGAAAAATTAAGAATGAAGAGCTGACATAATTATCATTTCGAAACAAATCTTGACTCGTTAAATCCCATTTGCAAGTGGGTTTTTTGGGTACATATCTTAATTATTTGTGTGTGCATGACATACAGGATTTCTTGAACATGTTCTTCCAAAACGTCTACAAGCCCATCCCTCTCGTATACAACCTGGTTCTGGCCAACCTATGGCGACACCCAGAGAACGTCGAGCTAGACAAAGTAAAGGTGGTCCACTATTGTGCTGCTGTAAGTATACAGTCACTTTACATCTTGGGGTCATCTCTTTTTAGTTTTTTTTTTTTTTTTTTGTTCTCTTTCCTTTTGATCATTAACCAGCTTCTCTCTCTCTCTCTCTCTCGGCCATGTATAACAAACAGGGATCAAAACCATGGAGGTACACAGGCAAAGAAGTGAACATGGACAGAGAGGACATCAAGATGTTGGTTGCAAAATGGTGGGACGTATACAACGACGAGTCCCTAGACTTCAAGGCGGAAAATCCGGTTTCAGAGGACGAAACTTTCTCGAGGCCATCGATCATGGCTTCCATGCCTGAGCCAAGGATATCCTATATTCCTGCGCCTTCTGCTGCTTGAAAAGTACTGCTGAAGAGACTTAAGTACTGTTCCAAATTGGTGTGCTTCACCCACTTTTTTTTTTGTCCCCCCTTTTTCCCTAGTGTTTCAATATAAACTCTTTCAGGCTGTTTGGCCTCGTTTCCTTAGTTGTTGAAGTTGGTGAAAGATACTCGTATAGATTCCTTGTTACAGTTTTTCCTTTTGTTGGAGTGTGTTGTGACTTTACAAATATATCCCTAGCATTCAGTAAAAGAAAACTAAATATATATTATGTTACAAAAATGTGTATGGGGAACTTCGTAGCGACATGCATATGCTAAATGTATATCTTTGAAGTATGTGGCACAGTATAATCTTCAATTCTACAATACAAATATTTATTTCTTAGAATATAAATAAATTCTCATTATCAGTTTTTCTATACCAAATTGAAATTGGCACAAAATGAAAATGATCGAAGCTGAAAGAGAAACCGGGAGAAATTTCCACAAACTGGCAGCTAGTTGTTAAGCGATGACATGACTACGAAGAATATTATATAGTGATTGAACTTTTTTATTTTTTTTATTTATTTTTGGTCCTCATAACAAAATAATTAATTTTGCGTTAACGTGAAAGAATCACTTTAATCTTTGCTAAAGTCATTACCAAGTGGCAAGTGGTGTAACAGGACAAACCCAATAGGCCAATAAGATTGGCTGATTGACAATAGAATTCTCTTTGTTCATTGTATGGCTAAAAAGAGTCCTACCATATACGTGGCATCCTTAAATGGGGTCTGGACAATTTTGCCAACATCAGCAGGTCTGGATTCCAAATGGTTCCACTGATTGGACGTTCAGGATCAATCAACACTCATATCATAATCTCCATCGTCAAAGGCTCGTATAAAGTACAAACTACAAGGGCAATCTGTACTTCAGAGAGTTTGACCTTTTCAATTTTTTTTTTCCCCCTGAGTACTAAGCATAATATATATCGCAATACTCATTATATAATGCCGACCAATCAATTGATACGAATGGATTTTGTTAGAAAAAGACCAAAAAAAACACATCTTTTACTTTTTGAGGTTTATTGTCCTTTTCTTCGCAGCTCACTCACTTGAGGTTCACTCAATTAGCGTTACAGAATGAAGTAACCCATGGTTTATGTATGACAGTTTTTCTTCTTCAAGGAGAAAAAGAAGAAAAGAAAAAGAAATAACATTCTAGAGTCTCTAGACCATCCAAAACTTTAAGATATTTTTTGACAGTTTGAAAGTGAGAACATGTCGGTTTGCGAAGCCTCAGAACTTTAACTAAACGCATGACACCGAGAATCAATCAATCAATTAAATATCCATGGGGCTAAAAGCATTCGTACCTTCATATTCCTCATCTTGTAGCTCTGGCTCCTGAAAGCATTCGTCTTCAAAAAGAAAAGAAGCGGCATCTTTGCTTCTCTGGGGCTTTTTGTCATTGATTTCTATCACTGAATTGATCTTTTCCTTGATGCAATCTTCAATGGTTTCACCCGCAACTCCTTGAGACTGCACGCCAAGAAGAGAGAAGCATTTTTGTTGGAAATCCGAGTCGTTGGAGGACAAGATTAGGCCAGCAATCGTTTTCGCCAGGTCGGGAGCATAACTGCGAATCTGAAAATGAAGGCCACCATTTTCAAAACCAGCTGCATGCCTAGAACAAGAAGTTTCTAAGGAAATGCAAGGTTCATGAATAATTCTAGAGAAACAACACCCACTTTGTCTCTAGTAGGTGAGACTAAGAAGTATTACCTTGACAGCATGGGCACTTAAAAGAACTCCAGCATGTCTGTCTCTCAAATCATCCAAAGCAAGTTTAACTGCTTTTTTAGTAAGATTATGATCAAGTTGATTCTTTAACCTTGTTGATGGTGCTATGACCTTGGAATCAAGTCAAGGAATACGTATATTGACACGAAACATAATATATGCAAGCAATAAAGCTTACAATAAGAAGAACTTGAGGGTATGACACAATGCTGGATATTGCTCATTGTATAGATGGAGGACAATATCTATATGGGCATGAGTTGGCAAGTTGTCCCACTCTAAGAAAACATTGCCATCTTGATTCTCAACACTTCCTAAGGTCAACCCGTAACTTCTCCAGTCAATGCTTGTTAGTGCCTTCAGAGACGACTGAGATATTGGACTAGCTGAGAAATCTCTGAAGTACAAAACCTGCAATGAAATCGGTTGTATTATTCAAGTTAAACCAATATGGAGGGGGGAAAGAGGGGAAAAGGACTGCATCAAACGAGTACAAGTATTGCACTAATCAACCTAAAGTTATAATAGACGTGTCCCATCTCTTCAAAATTTATTGCGGTAGAAATTTAGAAGAAGTAAATGGGTCAACGTCAATATACCTCTGTTTTAGCACCGCATGCTCTAAAGCAAGTAGTGATTTGCTTTGATATCTCACTTATTACAATCACTGCTTCCATCACCAGTCCCGTATTCCTATGGTTTTCCACGCGGCATGCAGTTCCACTCCCGACCTTGAGATTCTCCCTAAAAGAGGTTAAAAACTAGTTAACACACGCCAAATGTATATATAAAAGCTTTTAAGCCTCTAATAATAAATAGCATTGAGCACAACACTAGTATGAATACAAAAACAATCACACAGAAACGCAAACTGTCAACCTCTTCATCAAGATTTTGAATCATTAACACAAAAGAGATTGAAGCTGCAATTCTCTGATCTACCCTACTAACTCCTAAACAAGTGAAACTTGAGACGAAAGGATAAACAGGAAACGGATAGTATGCATTTGCTACAGCATGAATCGTTTATGAACTTACAAACTCAGGCAGCATGAGTAGCACTGTTTAATTAATACATTTCCATGCTTCAAAACATAATCTTCAAGGCCTGACTTGAGACGTTCAAAATGTGAGGATGAGAAAGGTAAGGGATTGAATTCATTTGCTAAGAAATGAAATTCTTCTCTTGATCCAGGAGTATCTCCACGCTCAACCACCAATTCAGTTGCAATATTCTGGAGCAAAATGATTAAAAAACCGTGCACAGAATGCGTTATCTCTTTTATGGCACATTGAAAATGCAAGGTTGCTCAATGTCTTTTATGTGCAAAACCGATAAGTTGCAAGTAGAACTTACAGGGATCTTTAGAATGAGCATCTGCAAAACAATAGAAAACATACTCAGTAATCAGGAAAATCCAAATGCTGTAGAATATAAAAGGGTACGATGCATCGCCAAAAGTTAACAAGTAATCGATTTTAAGCCTTTCTAATCAAGCATTATCAAAATTTTGTTTCCAGATACTTGATCATAGCATGACAGAACATCTGATCCATATTCAAAAAAACAAAATTCCACACTATTGCAAATTGATAAAGCAAAATGTAGAAGGTTCATAGAGACACGTTTGACCTTTTGAAAGAAGCGCTTAATCTCTCCCACCAAGACATCCTCGATTTTAACAACTGACAGACACACTTCGGTCCCACTACAAAACAAAATAAGCTATGAAGCAATCATAACTCCAAATTCCCTAAAGATATCCAAAATAAAACTTGAAAGTGAAGCAATTCGCATGCCTGAATTTCACCCCATTTTTGGGTTTCGAAGGTAGCCTTGTCAACCTTCTTGCAGAAACACATTCTTTCGTGTTTACCATGTAATTATGTATCTCATTGTCAGAAATACCTGCAATTTCCACATTCTTTCATTTCAACCTTCAAGCCTTGTTCATGGTCAATCTACTGTACCAATTTCCAGCATTTTATCCAATTCTTTGATAAAGTTGAACAGATCACAGCAGACACTTCATGTAATAATAATCCCAAAAACAAACAGATAATTTTAACCTTAAAAATTCACTTCCAAATTATCAAAAAAAACAACTTAGGGCGGATAAATGATACTCACTTGTTGTTGTGACAGAAAGCACTCCATCTACACAAAAACGATGCACGTCAAAAAGAAACAAATATATCGTCGAACACGAATTTAAATATCAGAAACCGGATTACTTACCCCAATCTGCAGATCCGAAAGCTTCCATAGAAAGCATGATGTTCTGAAACTCCTCCAAACAGCTTCCGATCCCCGTATCCGATACTGCTCGAATTAAATCCAACAGAAATTTCGGTTCAATAGAGAGAACGTTCGATCCACACAAAAAAAAAAAAAAAAAAAAAAAAAAAAAAAAAAAAAAAACCTAAATGAAAATTCGAAGCATAAGTGAGAAAATTTACTTGAAATTTGAACTAAATGTGGATCGGAAGCTGGAGAGAATCTGAGGATGATCGATAATCTGCAAAGGTCTTCGGAGACTCGGCATCTTTGAAACGCAGAGGAAATCAACTGCAATAATAGATGAATTCACAAACAAGAAATTGTGATTGAAATTCGAAACTGAAAAATCGAATTACGAAAGATCTTTCTGGAGGTTGAAGGGCTCACATGTAGAGAGAGCTCGTGAATCGAATTGAAAGTCATTTCAGAGTGTTCTTGAGGATGATAATAGTAAGGACGAAATGAAACTCCCGCGTTTTCCAAATGTAATTTGTGCCTTTTAAAGGGGTCTATTTGGAATTTTGAGCCCAAGTTAATGAACACCCCTTCGGGTGCTTTTGAAGACTTGGGGCCCGTTTGGATTTCCATAAAGTTATATCTAAAAAATAGAGAAAATATTAATATCATTTTTTCTAACACTCTCCGTATTAATTATTTAACGTTTATATTTTATTAATATGATATATTATTATTTAAACTGAAAATGAGATTGTAGAGTTCACATATCAAATAATAAATATAAAGAATAATAAAAAAATGATGTTACTGTTTTTTTAATTAAAAAATAGCAATAACTTGTGAACAATGATTAACGTAATGATAAAGTGAAAACTAGCGACAAGAAATAGAAAAAACGACATCATATATCAATTGCTTTGAAAATTACATATGAACGACATCTCCGGATGAAAACTACAGCTTTTGACAAAATAACAATAAAATATGGAAAAACGGCAAGAAATAAGAAATGATAGCACCTTATTAATAGCGAGAATTGAATAGTAAACGATATTATATCATAAAACGACGACATAAGAAAACGATAATATACATTACTAATTGAATCTAACTCAAGCAAAAACTAGAATCAATCACAAGTAGGTAGCAACAATACGTCTCACCCATTTCCTAAAATTTACATTATGAGTTGAATCTAACGATAAAAAACTCGAGCTCACCTTCTTAATAGATACAAAATTAAAGTTCACTTTTATCCATCAAAGATCTCACTTAACAATGTCCAGAAGGTGGTCGCCATGTCTAATTCAATTAAAAATATAATCAAGCAGATTTGATTTTGTATACTTTCATTTGAGTTTCCGTAAGAATTCCAGATTATAAGTTTTCAAAATGAGCAAGAAAGATTTACATTGGCATACGAAATGTGCATCTTGAAGCACTTAAACCGGCCTTCCCAGTTACATAGTATGAGAGGTGCGTGGAATTAAACGACATTGCTAGATAACAAGAAAAATCAGTCGTTTATATTGCCACGAAATGACGAGCCTGATTGCCAGGCTCAGTAACGAGGGCCTGTAGCCCAAGTGGGGCTTCAAGGTGGTGGGACATTGGTTTAGCCCATTGGGCCGGACCTCCTGTGGCTAACTTCTGGCTTGCCCGAACCAAGCTGAGAGTTGGGCCTGTGACCTGGGAGAAGGCCCGGGTATCGCGGCCCCTAGACCGCTCTCGGCACTGGAAGGATAACAGGCCAGCGTCACTCTCCTTTCTCTTTTTTTAAAGGATATGTTTAGTTGGCTGATTAAATTTTTAATTTGAGTTGAAATTTAATTTTATATGAGAATTTTTTATTATAGTAAAAAAGTTAGATGTGACTATTTTTAAGAGCTTTTTATTATAATAAAATTTAAATTCTAAACTCGAATCGGTAAAATAAATAGGACTTTAAGTGTCACATTTTGAGGTTTGGTAAAAGAAATCGTTATTAACATGAAACAAAACTTTTTACTAGTCCTAAAAAAAAATAAATTCATATAAAAGTCTCTTTTTTACTAGTCGTAAGATTACCTCACGTTTCATGTCTCCTTTCTCTTTTTAAGTGTTACTTTTTGAGGTTTAGGTGCTGAAAAAGTCGTTATTAACGTTGAAAAAAAAAAAAAAAAAAAAAAAAAAAAATTTTTAACTTTTTACCTAAAAAAAATTCATATAAAAGTCTCTTTTTTTTAGTCATAAATAAATTTTTATTTACATAGTAAATTATTATTTACTTTAAATAATTTTAAAATTTATTGTTTACTGTAATTATTTTACAGAGTTAATGACATGTGTTCATTTCAATATAAGTGAAAAAAGAATGTCCACAAATTGTGATATTTGCACATAAATTTGTAATTAACATGTAATAATATTTATATCCTTTGTTAACCACCCCTAAAATTCATTATATAAATAAATAACCACCCATATAAAATATGATATAATCAAAAAAATATTATCTTAATAACCATAAAATGGACAAATATGCAATCTTAAAAAGATTATTCTCTTTAATTATCGCTCTTTAAAAACCTCGTTTAAAGTATGATTTTCCAAATTTAACCTTTAATTTTTTTAATATGTCTTTAAATATTGTACCACTTTAAGATGTGATTTTCCATATTTAAACTTTTTTTTCTTTTTTTTCTTTTTATTTCACACGTTCTTACTCGGTTTTAAAAGTTAAAGGAAAAATATCCACTGTGTTTTGTGAAGATACTACTTTTGCCCCTCTTATTATGTAAATACTCAAAACATCTATTGTGTTTATAAAAACGGACCTAAAACAGCCCCTAAAGCAGTTAAATTTTTTAATGTCATAATTATACTTTCTAATTTATATTAAAACTGTCATTTTAGATATGATTTAATTATTTTAAAAAATACTCAAATAAATATTCGAATGAAAGAAATACTTTACTATTTTAAGAGTTTTTCATTTTTTAAGGTTGATTTCATTTAACATTTTGGTTAATAATGTTTTAAATTGTATTTAATAAAAATTAAGAAGGATAAACTTATTATTTAAAAAAAATTCTAATATCAAACTTTTTATACCATGTTAAGTTACTTAAATAAACAAAAATGACATGTGGTGTAGGGCTGTAAGCCGGCCGGGTTCGGTCGACCGCCACTTCCGTCGTAGCAGTCCAACGCAAGGTCTCGGGAGCAATAGGCGTAATTTACGAGGTGTTCCCCTTGTTGTGCCGAGTGTTACTAAACGTGATGGTTGTGATCATTTCTTTGTTCTGAAAATACTTCCGACAGAATCGACTCGCCATTTCTTCCCATGATCGAACAGACCCCGGAGCCAGGGTCGTGTACCAAGTATAGGCTCGATTAGTGAGTGATTTTGAAAACTCTCAGATCCTTATCGCTGGAGTACTGTCCAAGCATATCTAAGAAGCGGCTGATGTGTTCTTTGGGATTCCTTTTTCTGCCGTCAAAAAGGGAGAACCTCAGAGTTTCGTATCCCTTGGGGTACGGCTTGCGACACACTTCGGGAGAATAAGGAGGTCTATGGACAAAATCCAGGTCTTCGGGAGAGGTATTATAGAGGTGCTTCTCAAGAAGGGAGACCACATCTGTGTGGGTTAGAAAGTCCTCCCTGACTTTCGCCTGTGCTTGAATCCTTAGTTCTTCAAAAACCAAGGCTTCCTGTTGTGCAGCTTCGGCCGTCGGCGTGGGCCGGGCGTTTTGTTGAGTAAGAGCACTCTTCAATTCAGCCACCTTGTGCATAAGGGTATCGAGCCATTTTGCGGATTATTTCCGTGAGCCCATCAGTTGAAGCCTCGGCTCCATCGGAGGCGCCGACCTCGTGGTTCGAGATAGACATCTCCGTTCTCTGTGAGTCCCCATCGAGTGCAGTCTTCATATTCTTATTCTTGGTAGGAGCCATTCGGAAGCCCTAGTTTAGCTTCCCTAGTGGAGTCACGAAATGTTGGCGCTCTTTTGGTGAGGGCCTATCGACGTGGAAGGTAGAGGACTCGTGGCCCCTTTTGGTTCGGGATGACTGTGTTCTTGTCGACTGACGTGGTCAAAAACCTGCTGAGGGCACTTCCTGGCGTCAATGGTGGCCGAGAGGATGAGATTGGCCCCGGCTGAGGTAGGCAAAACCCGGATGACGGTATCCGAAGGCGACACTCGTTGCGGCTTCGGCTCCAAGATAGTGAAGAATTTCTGATGGGGATCTCCCACTGAGCATATGATGTGGGAGAGGAATGTGACCAGTTTATGGAGGAGGTCCCTAAGTGGGTAACGGAGTCGAATCTCTCCGTTTGGATAATTGGTTTTACCTCGTCTAAATTCCTTCATAACCCACGTTATCCTAATTTCCTCATAGACCCAGGACCAATCCAAGTGGACCAAGGATCTAATTGGGTTGGATAAAATGGGTCCGGTCACATTCTTTGGCATGCCAAACCACGGCCCACATAGAAGTCCCCGAGACATGGCTTGGGTCCACGTACCATATCTAAAGTTGTATTTACTAGATCTGGACCGGACCGATACTTTGTAAAATTTTAGGTATCAACAAGAGTCATACCGAGGCCTATAATTGTTTAAAAAATAAGGGAACATAATGCAATATAATATAAACTAACAAACATGGCTTTAACGTACAAAGTTTAGACTTACATTCGCAAAGGTCTGTCTCCTTCAATTTGGCATGCTATTTATTGATTGAAGTGTCAAAAAGGTCTGACTCCTTCAATTTGGCATGTTACTTATTGATTGAAGTGTCAACTAAAGCAAAGGTCTCCTTCAATTTGGCTTGTTATTATTGATTGAAGTGTCAACTAAAAGAGATTCTCAGCCAAAAAGGGGGGAAAAAATGCCAACTAAAAGAGATACATTGGCGTTACAAGTTCGCCACCAATTATTCTTGTGGCATTAAATCAATGATCAATTTTAAAGTCATTGGCACCGTCTTAGAGATGCCAACTCTTTAAAGTGGAAAAATACTAATTACTAGAATAATGTTAAGGAATTGATTGTGTTAAGCACTATACACTAATAAAAAAATATATTATAAAATAATATGGGGTCCATTATTTATTAATTGTATGAGATGTTTGTTTTAAGGGTTCGTTCTTGGTTCTGAATTATGATTTTTAATTCTCTACAATGTTTTTTTCTCATTAAAAATTTAAATTTTAAAAATCAAAATCATGAATTATGGTGCTGAACCCATGAACCAAATGTCTCAATAATGTTTAACAATAGTGGTTCCCCGTAACATTGTTCTAGCCATTACCCATAATAATTAAACATCAAAGTTATTTTTTTTAACCAGTTAAAAATTGACAAATATGACTTACAATATCCTGTTATCATCCTTAAATGTAGGTAATTTGATTGTTGATACGTGAAGTTATAACTAATTAAAAATATAATAATAATCATTAATAGTAATACGTAACATTATTTTTTAGAATGAGTCCACATCTATTGTCTGTACTTTTTTATCTTATTAATGGTCCATTCACTAAGTATATGTAATATGTTACATCATTTAAATTTACTAATTTAATTGAAATAATTGAACATTTTGTGTGGTATCAAAATTTATTTAGAAGGACAACGCACATGATAGAAAAATTTGACAATAGACATGGATTCCTTCAAAATGTGTACAAGAGTTGAACGTGACCAAAACACTATTGGTCTGTTTTAGTTTTTTTTTTCTTCTCTTTATGAAATGGTCGTACTTTTTGTACCGCAAGTCTACTAGAAGTCAACCAAAAAAAAAAAAGAGCTAAATTTAAATTATTCACTAATGTGAGTTAGCTCAAAGTCTCTTGTCCCCGTGGCTCTCGTGAAACATGCTCCCCTTGCATTTCTGAAAAAGAAAGTTCAGTACTTGCACGATAAATGAATTTGAAATGTGTCAATTTTCTCTCCTTGTATCACATTTTTTATCACTCTCTTTGTCACTTTTATATTTATTATTTGACATGTGAATTTTATTAGCTCATTTTTTATTTAAATAATAATATATTAGTATTATTATTATTAGTGGAGTTTACACGTCAAACAATAAATGAAGATAGTGATAAAAAATGACAGAAAGAGTGATGTTAGCATTTTTTTCTCAATAATGAAAAAGTACATTTATGGTGTCAACAAGATAGTGTCCCATTATTTCATGTTCATCATCACATTTAAAAAAATATCAAATAGACTCTAGTGGTTAAACATCACCATAACCATTATAATCCAATTGACTAGAATGTTTCCCTAATCAATGACTAGACTCGAGTTGTTTTTTAAAACTCGATGCATAATGTCTTATTTCTCACTCTCATTAATTGTCCATCCAATTAAATTTAATACCTTATTAATTATTTGTGTTTTTAGCATTTAGTTCATGCTCATCTAATTAGATTATCAAATTTAAATAACATGATAGATAAATAGTGAAAATACTACTATTAAGATATGATAATAGAAACAACAAATATGTTTTAGCCAATAGCATAGTATTTGCTTAATACAATTGTCCAAAACAAACTTATGAAAATGCAATAGTTTTTTCCACAACTTTTTTTGAAATAATGGATTGATTTTATTTAAATAAGTAAATAGGTAACGCAAATACAAAAATAAAAAAAAAAACGATTAAGATCGCTCCAAAAAAAAAAAAAAAAAAGGATGACAAGAAGGTAACGCAAGTTGCCTTGGTGAAATGTGAAGGGGATAAGCACTAAGTAGACAGTCAATTCAACAAAAGGCAACTAAACTTGTTGACTTCAAAAGCTAGAATTGTGTGACAATCATGTGAATAGCCAGCCATTACACAAACCAATCAAACAAAGTTCTCTGCCTCTCTGGCACTCTCAGTGGGGCTGGGGGAAAGAGAGAGGGGATAGGTGCAGTGCAATGCTCTTGTGTCGAAGAGAGGAAAAAAATGAGGAAATTTTTTTTTTTAAGAATAGAAATTTTAATATTATTTAATTTTTAATAATTTAAAATGATACTGTGATCTTTTCACAACTCAAGTTTTATTATTACAGTATTTTTTCTCACAAAAATTTAAAATTAATTTTTTTATTATAGTGTATTTCTCTCACATACACAACTAAAATTCTTAACTTGAGTTGTGAAAAGAACAAGATATCATGAGTTTTTTTTTAATAGTATGATGAGTCTTATTTGGATACAAAATAAAAATGTGCTTTTATATCCTTATAACTAATTTAAGCTAAATTAATTTTTAAAAAGCTAATTAAAAAATATTTTATAAATAAAGATATAAATCAAAATAATAAGAAAATAAAAAAACAGAACTCATAAAACTAAAGTGAAAATTGGAAACCTATCGTCTTCCTCCTCTCTCCCCAAAAACCCATAACCCATATTTTTCATCATCATTCTCCAAATACCTAAATACTAAGTTAAGAAGGAGAGATTTCAAAGGTATAATCTGAAAGGTGAAAGAATCACTATCAAGAGAGCTAATTATCTATTGTGCATGGTTTTGTTTTCAATCTAATTTTAACCAGATCTAACAGAAAAAAAAAACATGCAATATCGTCTATCGCTATGAGATTGTAACATAAAAAGTCAAAAAAAAAAGAGATGATCACTTAACCTTGCGCCTTGAGATCATCATCCTATCTTGCGCTCCCTTATCTCATCCGTATCACTTTCTAGCCCCGCACCTCGTCCACCTCGATGCACTAGACCTGTCTAGGTCATCAACTAACCTTGCAAACCACCAAGTTCAACGTGCATCCCTACCCAAGTTATTGGCACCCTCACTCCTCGCCCATCCCTCTACCACGCCTAGCCACCGTCACAAAAAACCCCTTTGCTCAAGGTGCTAGCGCTTTCTTGTAAGTTGCTTTTGATTTTATTTTAGGGTTATTGGTATTATTAGGCCATACTCATTTCACTGATTCGAGTTTTATTACAGTAAAAAGTTCTCATAAATAATCACATCTAATTATTTTGTTACTGTAAAAAGCTCTCACATAAAGTCACATCTTAACTCGAATTAAAAACTCGAATTAGCGAACTAAACGGGCTCTTAGTCTCTCAATTTTGAGTTTAGAGGCATTTTGATCCCTGAATTTTTAATTATGACATATTAGTTTTTTATTTATGTTTTTTTTTACCGTTTTGGTTTTTGACATTAACATTAACGAACAATTTCTAAAATTTAAGTAGAATTTATATTAAAAATGATTTAGGAAAAAAAAAAGATAATTAGTTACAAATTGAGGGTGTGTTTGGTTGGGTGGAAAGGAATGAAATAGAATGAAATGAAATTCTAATTTGATGTTTGGTTGGATTTATAAGAAATGAATGATCATTCAAAGGAATGGGTCATTCACCCATTTTGAGTGAATCATCATTCCTTCCTCATATGAGTGGAATGACCATTCTAAGTTCTTTTTTCATTTTATTCTATAATTGCCCTTCAATATTATAATATAATTAAAATATATTATATAATAGTTATATATTACAATATAGTATAATATAATATATAATAAAAAAAATTAT